ATGCTCAAATTGTATTTTTAATCATATGTCAATTTTTTCAAATGGAGCGAGGGTGGCTAATTAGCATATTTGGAAAAAGCTTTTTTTATAAATAATTTGATACCACACACTTGGTATTTCGAGTCAAATTGTCGTTATAAACAGCATGTTTCAATTTGAAATAAACCATATTTGAAAATATCAAAAATTGACATATGATATGTCATTCTATTCAGAGTGTCATTTACTATCGAATAACGTACCCGAAGTTCTCCGATGGTACCACGTAATCATGGTGGTACCAAGTGTCAAAAGTCCCAACCAGAACGATGAAGAGAATCGGCTTTTTTCGATACGTCAGATAGCGAGTCCGAGGAGAATACCATAGCAACAGTCATCACAAAACTAAGTTACCCAGTCAATGTCGGCTGAGGGTATCGTTGTGTGTTTTTTAAACGGTAGATGATGTATTTTCAAGTCAATTTTGTTTGGTTGTCCGGAATTTTAAAACTGTTAAGCAATATAGTACTGGAAGAACATGCTCAATCTCAAATGGCACTGGAATGAATTATGGAAACCCGAATATAGTATCTTCCGTTTTTCGATTGTCCATGAACAATTATAATGTTAAATTTGTGGTGAAAATAGTTGAAAAACATGGTTGTCAGATGTATTTCAAGATACAAATAGTAAAAAAACGGCATAGAGTCTGTCCAACAACTCAGGGAAGATTTCGACAGAAGACATTCTAAAAATGACAGAACATACCACTAGCCTATAAACTAAAATGGCAGACAGAACTGTCGCTGTTAGAGATCCTCTCTCACTGGATAGACTATACTCTACATCACCGAGGATATATATTAATAAGGATTTTTCGATATATTTCAGTACACTTTCAAGATTACTAATTTTTCCCTAAATTTACTGAGATATTTTCTAAATGTCAACGTCGTGAAGTTCTAATCGAAGTAGACACTCAAGATTTGAGGTAGTCAAATATTTTCCTTCAATATATCATTATCAGTGTATGATATTTTTCCTTTAGAAAAATTGTGTGTAAAGCTGCCATTTGTTCTTGATATTTCTTTGATTTTACGTGTTTTTTTTTGTACAATTTTCGCAATATAACCAAATGATTAATACGATTTCCGTTGATCAACTCCCTTTCTATTTAGAGTTGAAGGTATTCTAGAGTAAAAAAAAATGTTGTTAATAGTTTTTGATGAAATTTTTGAGAAATTGTTGCCTATACAGTTTTTTTTTTGGTATATATGCAGTTCTTTTCTAGCTGAATCTCTTTTAAAAGATCAATATAATAGAAAAATATGCCGTATTTTTGTACAATTTATTTTTGCAGCTAATTCATAGTGATTTTATATAAATATAAGTAGATAATAAACATATAAAGCTTTAATCATTTATATTTGTTTTTAAAATTTGTCAAAAAGAGGGCGTTTTGAAGAGAACAACTTAAAAAATTCCAAAACGTTTTTGTATTTATTATAACGTAATTAATATAGAAAAAATACACTTTTGAATCTCATTGTATATAAATCATTTTAAATTATTTTTTTATTAAGCCTTGTGTAATTTTAAGTGATCAAAATATTATTTTAAATGTGATTTTAATGAAATACAAACCAACAAACATTCCGTCGTATGTGAAACGCTTTAAGGTATTTAGACTTTAAATTTATTTTTTGTATTTTTCCTACAAAAAATATTTTTTTATTTTTACAATGTACAAAATAAGAGAACTTGATGATTTTTGTCTTTCGTTTAGATTTTTAAGTTTGAGAGGACTGGTATACTTTTTAATTGTACCTCGTACAAACGTTTTGAACATTCCATATTATTGTTTGTCTCCTATTGATGGTTAATGTCACCTTGTTGGATTTAAAAAAAAATTGAATTATGATTAAAAATACGATTTGGGCATCTTTTAACTGGCCAGAAGACACGAAAAACATTTGACGGTCCAGTATATTTTTCCAAAGCTCCTTGATTACCAATTAACTGTTTTAACTCCGCCATTGCACTCTAGATTGAAATTTAAACTATTTAAGCTATTTTTTCTTAATTGAAAATATCAAAAGTTGACATTACGATACGTCATTCTATTCAGAATGTAATTTTCTATCAAATAAAGTAAAAAAATACCGAGATTACCATTTAAAAATCAAAAGTTGTAGAAACAGAGTGACCAAAACTAATTAAACACGTCAATCAATTCCAATTTATGACATATTTTTTTATCTGAAAAAAAAAACAAGGAAGTTAGAGAGGTGATAATCCAATAAAATTGTCATTTGAAAAAAAAATTACGGGCAAGCTGATTTTTTCAGAGTTTATCAGCGACTGTCTTCTGAGTGTAAAATAAACAATATCGGAAATTTTCCCCTTGCGGTTTTTGAGCAATTTTTTTTGTACCTTGATTATTTTTGGAGATAGCGTCTAGTTCATGAATAAATTAGGGTAGTTTTCAATGTTACTCTTTTTTCGGCAAATTCACCCTAGGAATCTCGTTCAAAATAAGAGTACATGTACCTTTGCCTTATGAACTTATTTTGTAACTTGACTATTTTTGGAGATAGCGCCCAGATCATGAACAAGTGGTGGTAGCTTTAAATGTCTTTTTTTTTAATTTCATGTTTCATTTTGGGGAAATAAATACATATCATAGGGAAGTTTGCATGTAATTTAAATATGGACACCTTTAAGTTGGTAAATTTATAGAACTAAACAAAAATTATGAAACTACCCCAATTTGTTCATGAACTGGACGCTATCTCCAAAAATAATAAAGCTATAAAAAAAATCACGAAGAAAAGTTGCTTGTCAATTTATTATGAACAACATTCATACAGGTCAATTTGCTGTAGAAGAAACTTTTTGAAAACCACCCCAAGTCCGGAAATAATAAACTTATAAAAACAATTCAGTAGGCGAACTTATAGAAAATGTTTTTATGTAGAATTTGCGTCTAATTATTTTGTTGTAGTACAGTTTATCAATCGCAAGAAGAAAATTTCCGATTTTGTTAATTTTACACTCAGAAGACAGTCGCTGACAAACTCTGAAAAAATCAGCTTGCCCGTAATTTTTTTTTCGCTCTCTATAGGGCGATACAATTTTACTGAATTATGAGTCACTTTTGAAAAACACCCAGTATTATGTTAGTACCATAATATTACTATTTCGTTTTAAGCATTGCTTTTTGCATAGTTACATAGGTACATGTTTAAGTTGGAATAAGATAGAATGTACTAACTGAGTACACTGTAAATCCATTCAAAAAATATTTCGTTGGTTCTAGTAATATCAATCTAGAATACGAGTATTCTCTTCGTTAAAAAATGGGGGACGTAACAAACAAAAAAATAATAATCTTGCCTCCCCTAAACCAGTGGCGTGCAGTGTAAATCACAGCAGGGTAGGCAAAAATTGACAAAATAATATAATAAGAATAACATTAATATAATAATTATTTTTTATTATAAATTAGGGGATTTTTTTTAGATTTGGCATCACTGCACGGGACAGCGCTCGACGCCTAAGCGAATTTCGTACCTAATCACGCATTACTTTTTTATTCTGTCTCTTTCTTACACATTAGCCTTCTAATGACTGCGGTGTGTAGAGTACGTAGAAGATTGGCAGAGGCACAACCTTTATCATTTCATTAGAGACAATAATATAAAGTAAATTATGGTAAATTTTATATGGGAATTGCACGATAAGGCTCCGCGCGCACTGCATCGGATCGGACCGACCAGCAAAAGCGACTGCGACCATCGTACATATAGACGGCGCCGGCGTCCACTAAAACATTTCGGCCTGTAGATGCCAGATTCCTACCTCTACCTATCTACGATAGTCGAGTCACCGCCTTCGCCGTTTCTCGCCGGACTGATACCGATTCAGTGCGCGTACACCTTAAAGGTGCGTATTCATTATCCGAACGAACGAACGAATGTTCGCTAGTGGTATGGACGGGGACCGTACGGTAGAACCGCTCGAGAAGACCGGACCATAGACCGGACGCATTTCTTGGCGAACGCCTTTGATGTACCGACTCGAAACGGATGGTCGAGCGAACGAACGAACGAACGGCCGCATGCGTTCGGTCCCCGTCTAAATATACCGCACTTTCATTCGTTCGTTCGTTCGTTCGTTCGTTCGGATAATGAATACGCACCTTAACGCAGTAGTTATTTAAATACAGGGTGGCCTGTGGAGCCTCTCATACGCCGCGGAGGCTCCAAGGAGAACGATAGTTTTTATTGAAATGAAATTTTATGAGCGTAATTTAGGCTAATTTAGAGCATTTCTTAAAAATATATAGATAGTTCCCCCCAAAAAAAGTTACACATTAAAAGTTTGTTTTTTGTAATGGAACGCCCTATATATTAATTGATTTTCGGATTGTAGGAGAAAAAATAAAAGTGAGTTTCATTAGAGAAGTATAATATGATTAAAATGCAAGGTTTTTGGCATATTTAACATTTTCATCATATTATACTTCTCTAATGAAACTCACCTTTAGGTGACTATACAGGGTGAGACTTAAATAAGTGCAAATATTTTCAGGACTGGTATATCTCGATAAAAGAAACATATTTTCTCTTTACCATTCTTCAAATAAGTCCAAAATAACCGCGTTATTTAAGTTTGAAAATTTAAAAAAAATTGTTTTTTTTTTGGAAAAATTTTGAGAGCCACCGGCTTTTTCTGTATTTCCATGGGAAAATTTGCGGTGAACAGACAGTTCTAAAAAGTTTTCGAAAAATATACAGGGAAATTTAAAAGAAAATGCACGATTTTCAACATCTTTTTTTGCGAAAAAAACCTCATAGACGTGTTCCTGAGTCGAAATATACCACCCCTGAAAATATTTGCACTTATTTAAGACTCACCCTGTTTATATAGTGTTCCATTACAAAAAACCCAACTTTGATGCGTAACTTTTATTGGAGACATCCTGTAGAAGTCTCTATATTTTTAAAAAATGCTCTAAACTAACCTACATATGCCACTAAAATTTCATTTCGATTAAAGCACCGTTCTCCATGGAGCCTCCGCGTCGTATGAGAGGAGTCACCCTGTATTATCTTAGGTATAATCTCTAGAATAAAAAGTAAGATAAAAAATGCTTATTTGTTGGATTAGTAATGAATTATAATATATGAAAAAAAAATTATGATATTGTCTGGGGTAGGCAACGCTTTTTTGCTTATGTCATATATCGCTGTCCTAGAGCAATACTAGGATAACTTTAAAATGTCGATTTTGAGTTATCCTGGTCATTTTATTGTAAAAATCGAGCTCTTTCTATTGCAATAGTCAGATTTGTGAAATTCCTTAATTTGGGCCCAGTATACAATGTACCTTACTATTACAATATGTAAATTTTAAACGATTTGTGGGGAAATAGTAGGACATAATGAAAAGTCCTTTCTACTAAACTGGAATTATTCTCATTATTTAACTTGTTTGCTAGTGAAATAGTAAGATATTGAAAGATGTCCTGTTTTTTAAACTTGTCCTAGTATTACAATGGTAAAGATACCTTAGTGTTTCATAACAAAGAAAAAATATTGTAAAATATATCTTTTTTTTAAGTTGACTTCAAAAAAAAAGATAACTTTCCTTTTTCCCGAAAAAAAGTAAAACAATACACGGACAGGATCATTAAACAGGTAATCAGATATTTCAATACTAAGACAACTTAAAATAAAATAAGAACAATTTCGAAAATTATTGTGTTTTGTAGCGCAATTCAAAGACATCTTACAAAATGTTTTTTTATAATTTTTTGATGACATTTTAAGGTAATTATTATAATTACACCATGTTTCTGTACATAATAGCTAACTAATTACAAAGTATCAAAAACCTAACATATTTAATAATAAGGTATATAGTAACAATTTCAAACCTTAAAAGTCGATTTTCTCGAAATGACTTTTTTTAAGTTGTCCTAGTATGGTTCTAGCACAGCGATATGCACGCCACTGCTCCAAACCTGCTGATTCTTCTACACAGAGGTGTCGCTGTTTGCTTCTTCAGAGGAGCTCGCAGGGGCAACAATCATCCGATTCAGGATCAGAGTTTTCCCACTTTGGTGGTTTTTGCAGATTCCTAGTCGGGCCACATGTCTCTTCAATGCGTATCATATCGGCAATTGGTTGATCCACTTGGTATTTTAACATATCTTGGTAACCCGGCCGGAACACGTTCTGTTCATTAGTTTTTCGATATAGGTGCTCCTTGTCCGCGACGATGGGTATACGGAACAAGATCCGATTGAATTTGGTTCTCTTGTATCGTGCACTTGCGAGCAATTCTCCAGCCGTATTTTCTACAGTGATTTCAATTTTGTCTTCCTCTTCTTCAAGAGTCGTTCCGCATGGACATAATGCTTGAAGTAAACGTCGAATCGGGCCGGGCTAAAATAAATCAGAAAACAATAATTAGAAAATTAGGGTGCTACAAATTCGAGGTACGAGCATTGGTATCTCGGAAACCGTAATAGAAACCGTAATAGATAGATGGTTAAATTGGGGCAAAGTTACGCTTTGGGATGTTCACTAAGATGCCTTGCAAAAAGTTTTAAAATTTCAAGGATTGCTGAGTTTTTTGGAAAAAACGGATTTTTTTGAAAATCAATTTTATTTTTTCCTGGCGTTATTAGGTAATGTAAATTATTTATAATTATATATTTTTCAATAATTAATGGGCTTTATACGGCGCCGGCGTGTTTTTGACCGAGACTACAGGTTGAACTTGAACGATACCGTACATAATGCAAGACTGCGCGCTCACCGCCCTTTATCTCAAAACCGGTTTAAAAAAAACAACGCTTTATTGTACAGGGTGAGTCAACGATAGAGTAAAGTCCATTATCTCATTTGTTTCGAGGTTTACAAAAAAATGTTAAATATAAAAGTTATAGGGAAGGTTAGGATACACATATTAAAATTATTATAGAGTATACAGGGTGCTTCAAAAAAGTGTGGAGGATATAACATATGCTTTTTAAAGCAACACCCTATTTTTATTATATTTTTAGATTCTGTCTAAAATTTCATAACTTTTTATATATAACGTTATATACTTAAAATTAATAGTTAATATTTAAATTTGTTTAAACAAATGTCAAATTGCAGTGTGATAAAAAATTGTCAGTGGTACCATTGTTTCTGAAGTTGGAATACCAAAATTTGGTATGAGAGTTTTATAAAGATGAAAAAAAAGATATATGTAAAGATATTTTAGTTAAATGCTACAGGGTGTTCAAAATATACTTATAAATTTCAACTACTTAAAATTAAAAAATCTCAAATTTTTCAAATGGTACACCCTATTTATTTTCATTTTTTTCTGATAGATTTTGCAAAGCTCTTCAACTTTTATTAAGTATGTCATATACCTATTTTTAATAGTTTGCGATTTATTCCATTTTTTTCTATTTTTACCATATCTTTAATACAATTAGGTACCCTATAACATCATAGTTGCCATGACAAAAAATAATAATGATCAAAATTTCATATGTCTGTTAAGCAAGTTAAGAACAAACCGTGAATTTTAGTTTACTTTGTTGTGATAAGTATAAATGGTAGAGGTAAAGATAATAGTTTTACAGATTTTCCTGAAAATGAATTAGTCAATGTGACAGATATACACGAACAAGCCAAGATAAACATATTTTTTTGGCTCAGTACTATATATTACATAGTACTTTGCTAAGTACTATAAGAATAGATGTAGATTATCTAGAAAACATTTTCATATTATATTATATTATTTTCAGTGTGTAATGGGACGGTTTCGCAGCTGTAATATTGGCTTTATGAAATGAATTATAAACCAGAATTACTACGAGAAAAAAACTTTACTGTATGACTGTATGTCGAAAAAAATTCCTATATCGGTAGTCGTCAACAATTAGATAATCTAGTTAGTATTACCCTAATCTGTGACTATTAGCCCCGACGGAAAATCCAAGTGTTATCTTTCATAGTATAGAAATACACCAAGAAATTCACGATTACGATTTTAGTTGATTTGAGTAAATTTAATTAATTTTAACTAATAATAACAATTATTGCAATTAATTATTAAACTACTTGTTAAAGATAAGTAGTAAATACTTTCGTTTTGCCACGGCAACTATGATGTTATAGCGTAATTGTATTAAAAATTAGTGTAAAAATAGAAAAAATTGGAATAAATCGCAAACTATTAAAAATAGGTATATGACATACTTAATAAAAGTTGAGCTAAAAGAGCTTTGCAAAATCTATCAGAAAAAAATGAAAATATATAGGGTGTACCATTTGAAAAATTTGAGATTTTTTAATTTTAAGTAGTTGAAATTCATAAATATATTTTGAACACCCTGTAGCATTTAACTAAAATATCTTTACATATATCCTTTTTTTCATCTTTATAAAACTCTCATACCAAATTTTGGTATTGCAACTTTAGAAACAATGGTACCACTGACAATTTTTTATCACACTGCAATTTACCATTTGTTTAAACAAATTTAAATATTACAAAAACGATTAATTTTAGGTATATAACATTATATATAAAAAAGTTATGGAATTTTACGCAGAATCTAAAAATAAAATAAAAAATAGGGTGTTGCATTTAAAAAAATATATGTTATATCCGCCACCCTTTTTTGAAGCACCCTGTATACTCTACAATAATTTTAAAATGTGTATCTTAACCTTCCCTATAACTTTTATATTAAACATTTTTTTGTAAACCTCGAAACAAATGAGATAATGGACTTTACTCTATCGTTGACTCACCCTGTACAAAAAGCCAAAACAGCTTCATCGACAAAGCATTCATAAAACAAAAAAGCACAAAAACAAATATACAAATAATAAAAAAAAATGTCATACAATACAAATCAATTCAAAAAAATTTACGTCATAAAATTACAAATAAAACATATATGGACATTGCAGAACACAGGCGTATCTAGAAAATTTTACAAAAGGAAAACTGTAAATGGATAAAATCATATTATATATCATAAAATCAAGAGTTATAAAATATTAAATATTAAATACTAGACCTTTAACCAGTGTGTGAGATGATCAAAATTTTAAAATTCAAAATTGTTCATGATTAAACATCAACAAAAAAGTCGTTTACCGCATATAGGGCTCTCTCCAGTAAATATGATTTCAGAGCTTTGCGAAATGCGGGAAAGAATGAAAGTGACTTGATATTCGAAGGCAAATGATTGTACATTTTCTTGGCATTGTACAGTATTGAGCCCTTAACTAGTTGTGAGCTCGGGGTTTGCAGATAAATATCATGCTCCGCATTCCTAAGTGGATAGTTGTGAGAAGGCCTTTCCGGAATAGAGAATATGTGCTTGCGGATTAAGCAAACGGAATCAAAAATGAATAAGGAAGGAAGAGTCAGTATTTTAAAATTTTTAAAGAAATTCTGGCAGTTTAGTCTTTGATTCTACTGTTTAGTCCCAATAAGTATCGATCTGCTCTCTTTTGAAGTTTGAAAATACGATCAAATTTTGTAGCGCAGCAAGTACCCCAGAATGGAAGGGCATAACGAAGATGCGACTCAAAAAGGGCATAATAGACCATTCTAGAGGTTGATGAGTTAAGTTCCTTAGAAACTGATCTTAGCGCAAAACAGGCAGAGCTTAGTTTCTTTGATAAGGCTTCGATGTGCAAGTCCCATTTTAACGAGTTGTCTGCAACAAGTCCTAAGAATCTCACAGAGTCCACGACGTCAATAGTGGTGTTATTAAGTACAAAAGGTTGTATAGTACTTTTATATGACAAAACTTTAGTTTTTGAAAGGTTGAGGCATAGGAGATTAGAATCGCACCAAGATTTAATGGTGCGTAAGTCACTGGATATAGTATTATATAGTGCCGTAACATCTGGGCCGCTCCAAGTGAAACTAGTATCGTCCGCAAAGAGGCAGATTTTACCGCTAATGTCTAGATTTGCAATGTCGTTCCACCAGAAAAAAAATTCGCAATACCAGAAATTCGCAACACCAGAAATAAAATAGGGCCAAGTACTGAACCCTGAGGGACACCACATTCTATAGGCTTACAAGAAGACATAGACGTTCAATCCTCACAAGCTGCCTTCTGTTGCCAAGACACGACTTAAGCCATTCGAGCGGCACTCCTCTGAATCCATAGTATTGCAATTTGTTAATTAAGATATTATGATTTACACAGTCGAAAGCCTTAGAGAAATCACAGAAAATTGTAGCTGTAGAGTGATGGTTATTCAGGCTAGAGTATACATTATTAAAAAGGTCGAACATAGCATCATTTGTGCTCCTTTATGCAGAGGAATAATTATTGCTGTCTTAAGGCAGTTTGGAAAAACTCCTTTTAGGAATGACTCATTAATTAGAGTAGTAAGATAGATTAATGTGCATTCCGGAAGTTCAGAGAACATTTTGAGAGTAAGCCCATCAGTCCCAGATGAGAATTTATTTTTAAAACTTTTAATTGTACTACGGAGCTCATCTAATGCTACGGGCGTGAAGAAGAAACTGTGTAAATTCTCATTTGCTTTATAGCCTAAGAGCTGACGACATATTTAGAGAACATATTTTAGGCAAGCTAGAATAACTAAAAATGTATAGTTTATTAACTGGTGAACCCAGAATCCTAAGTCTGGCTGGGGGGTTGGGGGTATTTCGCTACTGCGCAACCCATAACATTTGCAAAAAAATAAATCCAAAAAACATTCTTTAGGCAACTTGAAATTTGTTTATTCTCAAATTTTAGCATCTATTTAACCTAGAAATAAGTATGCCAGACTGTTTTTTAGGGTTTAAACTGTAACCCGACCATTCCAAATATGTTTAATTATTATACCTGGAAAACATACTTTAGGCATTCTAAAATTTTTACAGCGTGTTTATTAGATGATAGGTATTAAAAAATATGTGTTAATTGCCAGACAAATTCAATGGGATTTAATACTTGCCAGACGCGAATAAAGATTTTAAATGAGCGCGATAAGAAAGTCTTATGAGTATCTATAAGCGCGAAAAAGATAGTTTATTGAGACCCGGTCGGCAGCTGATGCGGCTGACGTAGCAGCATTTTGGAGTCGTAAAAACTTAAAAAAAACTAACTAATATTAAATAAATAAAAAGAAACATTTTTTAATAAAAATGTATGATTGAAATCCTTTCAATAAGAAGACTTTTTAATTTAAGTATTTTGTATCTGAAAGAATATAAAAAGACGAATAATTATTTAAAAATTAGCATAATATAAAATATTTTTTTTTCAAACGTCACAAAAGTATATATTATTATACTTTTGTGACATATTATATTATTATTCATTTTTGCGACCTGATTGACAATATAAAAAAGTCTTTTTAAATAACTATAATTTTAGTAATTTTAAAGCCTAAGCATAAAAGTAAAGCACTTTTACTTACTTTTGAATCTTAGAAAGATTAACAATGGTACTTTAATAAAATTCCAGAATACTTATTTTTTTAGCACTGTACATGGTACCCTTTCGTCGGGACTACGTTTTCTGGTAAAACCACTTCTTTAAATTTTAAACCATGTTGTTGGCGCACTTTTAAAAATTCTTTGCATTTTTGTAGTCTGCCTTCATCCAAAAAACAATAACTTTGTCACTAGAAACTTTTTTACAAACTACACAACTTAAATGTCTTTTATCCATTGTGATTTAGTAGTTAGTAGCGAAATTAGTAGTTACTTAAATATTTATTTGCAGTAATTATTCTAAACTATTTACACTATGCACGTCCAATATTTAATTTATAAATACATATTTGTACATGGTAACTTAATTCCAACAAAATAATCTCTGAATTAAAAGCTTGCAAATAATTGAAATGAAACCGAAAAAAAATTGTTTTTATGAAAATTTGAAGTACTCCAAAATACTGTTACGTCAGCCGCATCGGCTGCCTACGGGTCTCAATAAACTGTCTTTCTCGCGCTTATAAATACTCATAAGACTTTTTTGTCGCGCTCATTTAAAATCTTTATTCGCGTCTGGCAAGTATTAAAAACTATAAAAACCTCCATTGATTAATCACGATCCTGATTTTTGGAAAACGGATTGACTTTAGGGTGTAGGTTCGATAAAAAATGTTTTTTCGAAACTCGAATTCTAAGGGGGTAAAACCACCCCTCAAATATTAGAATATTTTTTATTTAAAAACCGGTGAGTTTTTCGGAAAAACTCTTAAACACGTATATTTCATTTTGTTGTTTTACATATTTTAAGATTTTTTAAAAATTTATACAGGTTTCATAAACTATGATCATTGAGTAATCACGATTCTGCTTAAACTACTGGACGTTTAAAGCTGATTTTTGGCAAACGAATTGACTGTGGGGTGTAGAGGTTCGATAAGGAGGGGTTCTCGAATCTCAAATTCCAAGAAGGTGAATACGCCCCTCAAAGATTACAATATTTGTTATTTAAAAAACGGTTAGTCTTTCAAGAAAACGCTTGGACACGCATAATTTATTTTGTTTTTTTACATATTTTGACATTTTTTAAAAAATCATACAGGGTGTTCCAAAAAGTTTGGTAATTGATTAACCACGATTCTGTTTAAACTGCTTGACGTAAAAAGCTTATTTTTGGCAAACGGATTTTTCGAAAGTCAAATTCCGAGATGAAACTACCCCTCAAATATTACCAAGTTATATAATAATATCGCCATATTGTTTTTTCTCAGGTTGACATAAATGTGAGAAAATTTTATTCAGTTTGTATGTTAATGGAAATTTTTGCTTTCTTTTATCATCACCAATACAAATAATGCACTGTTCGGTTTTTATATGATTCAAAATTAAAAATATATAAATGGTAAAATTAGTATTTTTTTAATGGTCACAATGCGTCCTTTCAAAACTATTTAACAACTAAATCATTTTCATAGATGCAGTGACGTATACCGTGATTTTAAACTTTCAGACCAAAAATTGACAATAATTTGCCAAAAAACTTATATTACAGCTATAGTTTCATTATTGCGCTTTATATTATTATCTCTTCGAGATAATTCCACTATCTATCATGGTTGGCCGCAAAATTTAATATTGCGCGTACGAGTTTTATCAGTTTGACAAGTGTCAACTTGATTGAAATGATATACTTAATTAGTATTTTACTTTTGTTGTTTAGTTATTTAGTAGTTTCTTTAGTGTTTTCTTCGGTTTAAATTAGATCAGATAGATAGTTTTTTCTCTTGTTCTGATTTACCAATCAAATTTTCAGGAAATATTAAGTTTACCACCACCATTACTGCTCAGATTTATCTGGTCTTCTATCATATATTTTGGAAATTAGAGAATTATCTGAAGATTTTCATGTAAAAATTGGCATTGATAGTGGTGGTGGATCACTTAAAGTTTGTCTGAATGTGCTCCCTGAAAATGATCCCGAATATTTCAAGAAATATAAAAGTGCTGGAATTAATAAACTATTCATGATTGGCTTAGGACCAAAGTTGTCTGAATCTTATGCTAATATTAAAAGTCTCTTTGAGACGTTAGATCTGCAGTCCATATGTGGAATTTGTTCCTATACTTTTGCAGCTGACTTTAAGCTTATTATGATTCTCCTTGGTCTTCAGTTAAATTCATCCACCCACCTTTGCCCGTGGCGTGATGTAAATGTAAAGGAAATGGAAATTAAAGGATCAATCAGAACTATAAAAAGTATTACAGAAAATACGAATTTATGGCAACAATCTGGAGGAAATATAACTAAATTCAAAGATTTTAGTAAGCGTTTTTGTTTGAAATATTTTTTTTTTATATTTTTAAACTGTTGTTCAATGAATGCCAATGGCCCCAAAAAATAATCCTATGGAGACCTAGGGGAACAACAAGGGAAATTATTTTTTAGAAAACTGTATAAACATTTAACCACCTTTAATCATTGGCGACAAAGAAACGACTGTCTTAAATTATATTCCCCCTCCTGAGCTGCACCTTTTGTTAGGTGTGGTTCAAAAACTATTTGATTGTCTTGAATCGGAGAATACCAATGTTGCAACAGAATGGATAAAAAAGCGGGATTGAAACTAGATCATTATGAAAAATTTAACGGAAATAACGCCAGACAACTTTTAAAGAAAGTGGATATTTTGAAGACGATATCGCCCGGTAAAGAATCCTATTCAAAGTTTTGACAAACAAAACCCGAAACATCTTTTTTTTAGGAAATAAATATATTGCAGTGTTTTCTGGATTCAATCAAGTAGTTTCGAGTTGTTTTGGTCAAGCACTAAACAAACATTTTGAACATGACATCGAACAATTTAGATTGGAAATACTCAACTTAGGTATTAAGATAACTTCAAAGATTCATGCAATTCTGCATCATGTGCCAGAGTTTATAAAAGAAAATCATAGAGCTCTAGGATTTTACTCGGAACAAGCATTTGAGCAGGTTCATTTTCCTTTAAATTATTTTCTAAAAAGTTTAACTTGAATCCTCGTTCAGAATAGAATGCTACCAAAATAGTTTTTTACGATGTATTTGTTGTTATAATAGCCAACGTATTTAAAATATTTAATTTAGCAATAAAACCAATTAGTTAGGGAAGAAATATAATTATTCTAACTTGTTAGTTAACATTTTTATGCAAAATAAAACATATAGCTGTAATATGATTTTTTTGACAAATTATTGTGTCAGTTTTTGGTCTCAAAATTCAAAGTCACGGTACGTCACTGGATCTATGGAAACGATTTAGTTGTTCGATTAATTTGAAAGAACGCATTATGGCCATTAAAAAATTACTAATTTTACAATTTATATATTTTTTATTTAGAATCATATAAAAACCGAACAGTGAATGATTAATTCGACGCGAACGAAGTCTCGTGTACACGCTAGTTATAATTACCTACACTCTTTATGGGAAATCTTCAAAATAACTTACCTCTTTTTCTGAAGACATTATTCTTGCAACACACAACAAGATTTTCAGATGACACGTGTCGTTTTGTCGTTTACTCGTTTCAAAAGCTTTAAAATAAATAAAAATTATATATGGAACCGCTAATGTCAACAGTTTTAAAGGGACTGTCTAGGTATTCTTATTAATTTTTATGGCAAAAAATTGTTTTGTTCAGATTCTGTATAAAAAGGAATGTTTCTTCAAGTAAAAATTCCACATTTTATAGTTTCTTTCTTTTAATCAATAATTCTTTACATGTGGTCATATTTATGAAAATTTATAAAATATAACAAATACAATATTAATTTATAAATATAACTAGCAAGTACCAGCGAGTTCGTTCGCGTCGAATTAATCATTTGTAATGGTGATAATATAGCAAAGCAAGAATTTCCATTAACATTCAAACTGGATAAAATTTTCTCACATTTATGTCAGCATGAGAAAAAACAATATGGCGATATTATTATATAACTTGGTAATATTTGAGGGGTAGTTTCATCTCGATGGAATTTGACTTTCGAAAAATCCGTTTGCCAAAAATAAGCTTCTTACGTCAAGCAGTTTAAGCAGAATAGTGGTTAAGAAATTACCCAACTTTTTGTAACACCCTGTATGATTTTTTAAAAAATTTCAAATTATGTAGAAAAACCAAATAAATTATGCTTGTCCAAGCGTTTTCCCGAAAGACTAACCGTTTTTTATATAACAAATATTGTAATATGTGAGGGGCGTTTTCACCCTCTTCGAAATTGAGATTCGAGAAACCCCTCCTTATCGAACCTCTACACCCCACAGTCAATCCGTTTGCCAAAAATCAGCTTTAAACGTCAAGCAATTTAAGCAGAATCGTGATTACTCAATGGTAATATTTTATGAAATAGGTACCCTGTATAAATTTATAAAAAATCTTAAAATATGTAAAACAACAAAATAAAATATACGCGCTTAAGAGTTTTTCCGAAAAACTCACCGGTTTTTAAATAAAAAATATTTTAATATTTGAGGGATAGTTTCACCCCCTTAGAATTCGAGTTTCGAAAAATCCCTTCTTATCGAGCCTCTACACCCTAAAGTCAATCGGTTTTCCAAAAATCAGCTTTTTACTGCAAGCGCTTTAAGCAGGATCGTGATTAATCAATGGCCAGATTTTTCGAAACACCCTGTATACATTTTTAAAAAATCTTAAAATATGTAAAAAAACAAAATAAGATATACGTTTCTAAGCGTTTTTTCGGAAACTTGACCGTTTTTTAAATAAAAAATATTGTAACATTTGAGGGGTGGTTTCACCCTCTTGGAACTGGAATTTTGAAAAATCCCTTCTTATCGAACCTCTACACCCTAGAATCAACCTGTATGCCAAAATTGAGCTTCTTACGTTGAGTGGTTTGAGCAGGATGGTGATTAATCAGTATGTCAGGATTTTATATATTAGTATAGATAATTAATGAGCAAAAACTAGGTCAAAACCAAGAGTCTTTTGGTTTTCGGCCTTACAGCGTCCCGTGACTAAACTCAATTAAGATAAAAATTTACTGTAAAAATGCAAGACCGCAAGAGACTTGCATGCTTGGTCTTGTTTTTTGGTCAATTTTCTGTGTTGGCTCCAATTGGAAGGTATTTCGTTTTTTTCTGTATTTACTGTGAGACCCCATTTAGCATATTCTTCAATTATTTTCCGCACCATATATTCCATGTCATCTTTGTGGTTTGCAATTATGGCCTGGTCGGGGTATGCAAATTGCAAGGTGTATAATCATTTAGTTATCTATACCCATTCCGTTACATTTTCTTCTCCATAGATGTAAGACCTTGGCAGTATAAATTTTAAATAGTGTCGTGATAGCAATTTCTTCTAAGAGACCGATGACCGTTTTTATTTGTGATTATTCTCCATGGTAAAGATTTTGTACAGCTTTTATCAGCTGGGTGCAATAATTTTATTATTGGCACTGTGTCATAATGTTTTTTGTAGATCGATGAATGTTATATGAACTTCCTGGTTCATTGCAGATTTCTTCTCGATGATCTGTTTCAATGCAAAGATATTATCTGTACAGGGTGAGTCAACGATAGAGTAAAGTCCATTATCTCATTTGTTTCGAGGTTTACAAAAAATGTTACATACAAAAGTTATAGGGAAGATTAAGATACACATTTTAAAGTTATTATAGAGTATACAGGGTGCTTCAAAAAAGTGTGGCGGATATAACATATGTTTTTTTAAAGGCAACACCCTATTTTTTATTTTATTTTTAGATTCTGCGTAAAATTCTATAACTTTTTTATACATAACGTTATATACCTAAAATTAATAGTTTTTGTAATATTTAAATTTGTTTATACAACTGTTAAATTGCAGTGTGGCAAAAAATTGTCAGTAGTACCATTGTTTCTGAAGCTGGAATGCCAAAATTTGGTATGAGAGTTCTATAGAGATTAAAAAGAAGATATATGTTAAGATATTTTAGTTAAATGCTACATGGTGTTTAAAATATATTTATCAATTTATACATATTTATCATATTTATACAAATCAAACCCTATATATTTTGATTTTTTCTGATAGATTTTGCAAAGCTCTTCAACTTTTATTAAGTATGTCATATACCTATTTTTAATAATTTGCGATTTATTCCCATTTTTTCTATTTTTACCCATATCCTTAATACAATTACGCTATAACATCATAGTTACCACGACAAAAAAAATAATTATTATCAAAATTTCATGTGTCTGTTAAGCAAGTTAAGAACAAAAAGTGAATTTTAGTATAATTTGTATAAATGGTAGAGGTAGAGGTAATAGTTTCAGATTTTCCTAAAAATGGATTAGTCAATGTGACTGATATACACGAACAAGCCAAAATAAACATAGTTTGTGGTTCAGTACTATATATTATATAGTACTTTGCTAAGTACTATAAGAATATAGATGTAGATTATCTAGAAAACATTTTCATATTATATTATATTATAATATTTTCAGTGTGTAATGGGACGGTTTTGTGGCAGTAGGAATATTGGTTTTACGAAATGAATTATAAACCAGAATTACTACGAGAAAAAAAAATTACTGTATGTCGGAGAAAATTTCAATATCAGTAGTCGTCAATAATTAGGTAATCTAGTTAGTATTACCCTAATCTGCGGCTATTCGGCCCGACGGAAAATCCAAATGTCATCTTTCATAATATAGAAATACACCAAGAAATTCACGACTACGAGTTTAGTTTATTTGAGTAAAGTTAGTTAATTTTGACTAATAATAACAATTGTAACTAATTATTAAACTACTTGTTAAAAATAAGTAATAAATATGTTTGTTTTGTCACGGCAACTGTGATGTTATAGCGTAATTGTATTAAAAATTAGGGTAAAAATAGAAAAAATTGGAATAAGTCGCAAACTATTAAAAATAGGTATATGACATACTTAATAAAAGTTGAAGAGCTTTGCAAAATCTATCAGAAAAAATGAAAATATATAGGGTGTACCATTTGAAAAATTTGAGATTTTATAATTTTAAGTAGTTGAAATTCATAAATATATTTTAAACACCCTGTAGCATTTAACTAAAATATCTTAACATATATCTTCTTTTTAATCTCTATAGAACTTTCATACCAAATTTTGGTATTCCAACTTCAGAAACAATGGTACAACTGACAATTTTTTACCACACTGCAATTTAACATTTGTATAAACAAATTTAAATATTACAAAAACCATTAATTTTAGGTATATAACATTATATACAAAAAAGTTATACAATTTTACGCAGAATCTAAAAATAAAATAAAAAATAGGGTGTTGCATTTAAAAAAACATATGTTATATCCGCCACACATTTTTGAAGGACCCTGTATACTGTATAATAATTTTAAAATGTGTATCTTAACATTCCCCATAACTTTTGTATTTAACATTTTTTTGTAAACCTCGAAACAAATGAGATAATGGACTTTACTCTATCGTTGACTCACCCTGTACATGATCTTTCGCCTCTCAAACCATTCTGCTCTTCTTCTTCTTCGTAGCTGGAGTATATGTATAGCTGTCGAAATATACCACCTCTAAAAATATTTGGACTTATTTAAGACTCACCTTGTATAGATTTTAATAACTATTAGATGAATAATTAAATAAAGAAATAAAACAATTTATTCAATTTCAAATTATATAATAATTTTGCGTTCTCTTAATATTGAATGTACGTCATCATATTACCAAGCTTATAAAAGTATACATTACATTATTACATGAAGCAACAAAATCTCACAAATAGACACATTATTTTTATTTTAAAAACATCAAGAATATGAAATATTTTATAAATATTACAGGCACAGGCTATCAATTATCAATCATTTTTCTCTACAAACTATAGAGACAAAAGATCTGGAGAAAAGTTTAACTGCATTTTCTGGTATTTTATTTTATTACAATTATTAATAAAAAATATCAAAAAATGCGTTTAATTCAGTATCAAAATCCTAATTCTCAGAAACATTAATATTTTTTAAATTGTGATTGTTTAAAAGAATGAATTAATGGCTTAAAGCGAATAGTTTGATTATAATCATAAGGCATTATATTTTTCAAATAAAAAAATACATATATGCTAGATCTAATATCTTTAGTATAACAATATATTATGTTATTTAGAAATCCCTTAATATCACATATCTTATTGGAATATAATGTTAAAACATAAAATAAAATCACGAACATTAATTACATTTAAGAATACTAAAATATTTAATCAAAATGTCTAATCAGACTTATACATGTTAGCCAGTAAAAACGACTAAACAGCCAGTCATTGATATGACACTTCAGTTGTAATTTCACTGCCTACCACTGCAGTTCGAACAATTAAACACTAAAATTATCATTCGAAACAGACATAGATACTAAAGCATGTGTTTATGTTTGTAAACTATGAATACCCATTATTTATTGCGGTCCTGTCACATATACTTAAAAACTTCAGAGATAGAAATAGTCAAATATAATCCTTCATGACGGTTAAAATTTGACCTCTTGGCCTAATAATAAGGAAACTGTAACCTTCTGATAAAATTCTGATGGGATCTGTAAGGAACAGCAAAATAAAACGCTAAAAGGCAACGACAATACACCAAAACGTTTTACTTATAAAAAAGTGTTATCTATATGTGAGTGATGTCTAACACTGGACGCGCGTTTTGATTACCATGTCGAAAAGCGCTTCCAGTGTTAGAAATAAAGTGTTTTGGTGTATTGTAGTGATTTAGTGTATTATTTTACTGTTGTAAAACGTTCCAAACACTAATAGACCGAGAGAGCTGGCTACATAAAAAACCTTATCATCGTTACATGGCTAATTTTTTGTATGGAGTATCCTTCTGTGTAGCCATTGTGAAATAGTCATGTCTGCCAGCGCGATTCCGGGGCTTAAAGCGGGGGCAGCCAATCGAAAGGGTGAAATTTTGATATTAAAAATATTATAAGGTACACGAGTTATAATTGCCAAATAACTTTTAATTATTATTAGGAAACCTGTAAAATTGTTGACAGACATTTTTCTCGTGGCTGCAATTCCGACAGATAACGCGAAAGAGGCATAGAATTTTGATAAAAGAAAATCATCGCATACATGCATGTCGGTTGGTGGAATGTCATGTTTATTGTTAATTAATTTAAAAAGGCGTATATGCAAAAGGGCAGACAAAAAATCGCTATTGAAGTAATAAAAAAATATATTTATAATATAATTGTATATTATATGACTTGTCTATACTTAAATGGATGAGGCGGCCAGCGTTCCCTGAATAAAGCTCTAGAGTAATATCGCGCTTTTGATAACTGTCTGCAGCTGATTGAGCCACGATTTTTGTCTACCCTTTCGCATACGGCTTTTAAAATAAACAAATATGACATTTCACCAATCGGCATGCAAATATGCCATAAATTTTTTCATTCTTCAAATTTCATTTTTTAATAATTTTTAAAATTTCATGCCTCTTTCGCGTTGTCTGTCGGCATTTTAGCGACTAGAAAAATGTCTGCCAACAATTTTCCACGTTTCTTAATAATAAATAAAAGCTATTTTTGCAATTATAATTCATGTATCTTATAATATTTTTAGCGTCAAAATTTCACCCTTTCGATTGGCCGCCCCCGCTTTAAGCCCCGGGATCGCGCTGGCAGGCATGACTATTTCATAATGGCTACACAATAGTATACTTCACACAAAAAATTAGCCATGTAACGATGATAAGGTTTTTTATGTTCCTTTGACTATAATTGTATTCTGAAAGGGACTGGTTAATGTATAGTTTTTTTTTGACTTTTTTTAATGTTTTGAATATGTCGATATCAAAATAATTCTATCTGCATATATCGACATCTTTAAAAAAATACATAAAAGTTATTAAGATCATAAAAAAATATACCTTGACCAGTCATTTCAACTTTGAATTACAGTTTTGAATAGTATATATTATAAGACAAGAAATAATTAATAATATATGTTTACCCATAATATTGCTACAAGGGGTCCAAAACGAAATGCAAAAAACTTTAAAGGGGATTCCTTGTAAAAATTACAAGGTCAACCCCCAGCCCCTGATTTATATTTTTTTTTAAACCGAGGTAGAAACTTGATAGTAGCGCCCCCTTTCTCGAGCGTTTGAAAAGAAAAATACTTATGGGAAAATTAAAACAACTTTGGGTGCACGTCACAAGGTGGCCACCAGCAATTTGCATATAAATGCGCTTGGTGTCATTGATGACGCGCACCCAAAGTTGTTTTAATTTTTCCATAAATAACATACAAATATACAGGGTGGTCCGAACTGTATGCCGGAAACATCGGCAGCATATTTTGCAGATAAAAATAAGTAAAAAAGTTCGTATGAATGTATGTTCTAAAATGCTTAGATTCGGAGATACAGGGTGTTGAAGTTTCATTTTTATATCGATTATTTAAGATAAAAAAATAAAAACGTTTTGTTTCCGCCATCTTTGAAACAAAATATCTTACTAATTATTACATACATTACAAACTAAACTTAATTTTTTCCAAAGAATCACCCATTAAAGCTTTGCGCATTTTTTAACCCCCTGCCCCTTCCCGTATATTTATGCCTAATACTGAGCAATTACACTGTAAATTCATTTAAAATAAATTATGTTGTATCAAGTAACGTCAATTTAGAACAAGAATATTGTTTTCGTTGAAAATGATGCATGTAACGTACAAAAAAGAATCCTGCCTAACCCAAATTCTCTCATTCTTATACTCAGAGATTGCTGATTGCTTCACAGTTTATCGCTTTTTGTGGTCCTTAAGCGACTCGCTAATGAACTTTCGTCTGGCCAGAGCAAAGGCGGATCATAGTCATGTCTTGTCTGCGTTGCCAAGGTTGAACCCTGGGGTGATGTCTGCGTGGTTGACGATGACGCGTCCGTTGACAACTGCTGCTTGCTTGGCACACTGAAAAAAATATAAGTAATTTTACAAAAAAAATATTGATAAGTATACAGGGTGGTCCAAACTGTATTCCGGAACGTTCGGCAGCATATTCTGCAGATAAAAATGAGTAAAAAAGTTCGTATACATGTATATCCTAAAATGCCTATATAGTTTCGGATACAGGGTGTAGAAATTTCATTTTTATTTCGAGTTTTTCTAAATAATTTCTGAAGTAACGTCAATATTTGGATGAAAACTGATATCTGGGAGTTTTTTAACACGAGAAATTTGATTTTGATGTCAATATGACTCCTAACTCTAGAGAGCGCCACCGACATGTTTTTTGACTAGTTTGAAGAGTAATAACTTTTCGTCCGTACCTGTATAAAACTACTCAGTAAAAAAATATACGTTTGTGACGTTTTTTTACGTAAAAAAAGTCTCTTGGTAGAAATCACTACGAGTAATGGTTCTCGAGATTGGAATCGAACTTCTCAATACCTGACATCAATGATATAAATTAAACATGTTGACTAAATAGTTAATTAGACTGAAATCATAAATTTTAAATGTTTTTGTGCCAAAAGTTCAACAGAAACTTTTATCATAATTTTTTCGAAGAAAAATTTATGATTAAAAAAAATAAAAAGTTCCGAAATTTATCATTTCAGTCAAATAACTCTCTACTCAATATATTTATTTTTTATCAATAACTAGCGTGTGTACCAGCGACTTTGTTCGCGTCGAATTAATCATTTGTAATGGTGATGATAAAGCAAAGCAAGAATTTCCATTAACATACAAACTGGATAAAATTTTCTCACATTTATGTCAGCATGAGAAAAAACAATATGGCGATATTATTATATAACTAACTGTATACATTTTTAAAAAATCTTAAAATATGTAAAAAAACAAAATATAGTATACGTCTTTAAGCGTTTTTTCGGAAACTTGACCGTTTTTTAAATAAAAAAATATTCTAATATTTCAGAGGTGGTTTCACCCTCTTGGAACTGGAATTTCGAAAAATCCCTTCTTATCGAACCTCTACACCCTAGAATCAACCTGTATGCCAAAATTGAGCTTCTTACGTTGAGTGGTTTGAGCAGGATCGTGATTAATCCGTATGTCAGTCACTTAAGGATTTTATATATTAGTATAGATTTACATACATGCCACAAATAATTAGCCATACAGGTATTTTACAAACGAGTTGTAAAACTAAAGGACGGATGGTAAATTTACAGATCGGGGAAGTTATCTACTCATTGAAAGCAGGAATTATAAAATACGATCCTGCTTTATCCTGCTTCATATCCCAACCCAGCCACACCTACTAATTTTGAGCTATAGGTTTCATGATTTATCGTTATACTGGTTGCTAACTTCCCACTTGGCAACACATGAGAAGCAGGATCGCCAAAACTGGTTCCTGCTTGCTCTTCTATATACTCCTGTTGCATCCTGCTCTAAATTTCATCCCAGCAACACTTGCTGTTTTTAAGATACAGCAAGTTTAAGTCTGATTGGTGACGTCCAGGGGTGGATGGGGAAGTGGAAAATGACCATAACGAAGAAACATATTTTATTTATTAATACAAGGTGTCCCAGAAATAAGTGCAAGTATTTTAACTGGCAATATAGTTGAACCGCAGAAATACGCCTATGAGATTTTTTTTTCGCAAAAAAACTTTTGAAAATTCGGAATTTTTTGAAAAATGTTTCGGAATTTTTTTTAGTTTTTAGTTAAAAACATAATTTCTTGATAATAATGCAACATAGGTAGTAGATTAAATTTACAAGAAAGAAAATCCAGAAAAGATCCGGTGGTTCTCAAAATTTGAGCAAAAAATTTTTTTTTTTTTAAATTTTCAAAGTAAAATAACGGTGTTATTTTGGACTTATTTGAAAAACGATGAAAAGAAAATATGTTTCTTTTATCGAGATCTACCACTCCTTAATATACTTGCACTTATTTCTGGGACAACCTGTATATAAGTAAGGGTGTTTTTCGCTCGTGCGAAAAAGCTCTTTTGCCTCCGGTTTAAAAAAAAATAAATTGTATTGATCAAAATTTTCGTAAAGACCAATATTGCGTCGGACATCTGAATTTCTACTACAAAATGGCTCACTTTTACAGGGTTCTACTGGGCTATTTCCATTATCGATAAAGGTAATTTGATCTTGAATAGGCTACGATTCTGAGTCACGATTTTGAGAAACTTTAAGAAAAGGAGAAAAAAATTTGAGAAACTTCCTGATTCAGTTCAGCTGACCCAATCCTCTGTGAAATACATTACTTTTAGCTTTTCGGGTACATACTTTCTTACACATTGTAGAAAGAAATTCTCTCTTTTCTGCTTCAGCAGCAGCCACCTCGTATACAGGGTGGGTCAAATTCGGCGCTTTTAAATGGAAACACCCTTTTCTATAGGAGATAGACAAAAAATAATATCGGTGTCTGTAGCTCAATTTTTGTCAAAAACATGATGGTGAAAACCGCATATCGATATCTGTTAACGTTTCGGAGTTACGGGGTGTTTTTCAAAAATATGCATTTTTAACAAATCGCTGTAACTTTTTTGCTATGGAAAATTTCGTATTTTTATGAAAACATTTCCAAAGCACCTTTTTACGTAGAATTTAATGGTTTAAGTATATTTTTTTTTAAATTAATAATATAAGAGTTATCAACAGAAAATTTGATTTTTTACATCAGAAACCCTGTATATTTTTAATTTATTGAAAAGAATTTAAAATTACCTTTCTAAAAATATAACACACTTGATATTTTGCTCGATTCCTCTTCGAGATATAGAGCATATAAAAATTCGCCCGCTTTAAATAAGTAGGCTTTGAACGGCACCGGCTGTAATGCAAAAAAAATCTGGCTGTGAGCATCAATTAAAACGAAAATAATATTTGCTATGAGAGATGCAGAATTTTATAACAATTTCAAATATATTTAACCAACATCAACAACATTTAAACTATATCTAATAACAATAAAAATAAATAGCAAACTAAGACATAAGAAGTTTCTGAGGGCTTATGATCAAGAAAAATCACAGATCTTCCTGGGTCTGAGTAAGAACAATCTTCGGATTGTCACGGGGTTTTTAACAGGACACTGTCTCCTCAATGAACACCCCAGTAGATTGAAACTAAGAAGAAACGGCGAATGCAGATTCTGTGGGGAAGATGGTGAAACACCAGTACACCTCATCACTGAGTGCCGAGACGACAACCATTCGTGCCATGAATTTTGGTACGACTGATATTGGAGATGGAGAACTACCCTCTATAAACCGTCCCAGATACTGGCTTTTGTCAAAGCCCTGGGACTGTATGATGAGTTATGATTCAAGAAAGGGGGACACAATGGATCTGTAAGGTCGAAGTGATTAACCCCCCTCCCACTCATTCTAATTCTAAATTCTAAAAGACATGAGATTTTGCTACAGGTGTTCGACATATCGACCGTCTTCTGTTATGGACAGACGGGGCAGTTTTTGAACATTTCTCGCGGAATTCATTAACTCAGTGGGGGTGAAAGATACCCTCTCATAACTGCTAAGTATTTCTAATTCTTATTTAGATTATATGGAAGAATAAGGAACCTTTATTCTTCCGCAAATATATCCATAGGATTAGATCCATGGGCACTAAGCCAGGCGGCCTCGACGGCCAACGGCTGGGATCTTGGTTAGCTATTCAATTATTCTTGTAATTGGCTACAAAAATTTGCTGATAACTTCAGCGTTCAGAGGCGGTACGTCCGTCGTCTTGCTGGAAAAATATGTTTTCGGGTTCCATTAAGAGCATATCCAACAATAAGGGGTCCAAAGCCTACTAGTTAAAAGTGGCAAACTTTTAAAAATTCTGTATTTCGAAGGGGATTATAACAAAATATCAAGTGTGCTATATTTTTGGAAAGGTAATTTTAAATTCTTTTCAGTTGATTAAAAATATAGAGGGTGTCCCAAATAAAAAATCAATTATTCTGTTGATAACTCTTAAATTATTAATTTTTAAAAAAATATACTTAAACCATTAAATTCTACTAAATGTTTTCATAGAAATACAAAATTTTCCATTGCAAATAAGTAACAGCGATTTGTTAAAAATGCACATTTTACTTACCCCGTAACTCCGAAACGGTAACAGATATTGATGTACGGTTTTCACCATCATGTTTTTGATGAAAATTGACCTCCAGACACCGATATTAGTTTTCGTCTATCTTCTATAGAAAAGGGTGTTTCCATCTAAAAGCGTCGAATTTGACCTACCCTGTACACGTGTTTTTAACTGAATGAACCGCGGTCACCATTAAAACTGCAGCATTTTTTAGGTTATTATAACGATATATCACGAAACTTTTCCTCTATACTTTTGTACATTTGGCATCTTGTATGATAATGCCATGACTCAAACGATAAAACCTAGGCAATACCTAGGCAGTGGATATAAATGTGTTCTGATGTAATGTTATGTAACAGTCCATAATAAGAATATTTGGATTTTCGAGACATATTAATATGTTATTATCTCTAATCTAGTTTAAACCTTATTTAACTCTTCTCTGCTGTCTGAGTCATTTTTAGCAAATTCACAACAACATTTTAGACTTGGCTTTTAGTTCTCAGAGTTGGCTTTTAGTCCGTCCCCAATTCAAGCCAAACATAGATATGTTTTCTTCGCCAACCGCAGAGTTCGCGTCAAATTCGTCTACCTTCTTACAAAGGGGAGCTCGAAAAATATTGCACCGAGGCCCCCAGTTGTCAATCTACGCTACCGTATTCTTAGTATACATTTAGATCGAGACTATTAGTCTCGATCTAAATGTTAGTTTAGTTAGTTAGTCAGTAGGTTAAGTATGAGTGGCTCATAGAGCCAGACTTCGCCTCTTAATAAGGGAATATGTATGTATTTTTCTTGTTAATAAAGTTCTTTATTATTATTATTATTATTATTATTATTTAAATTTACCTAATGCTATTCATTCTTTTTTTTTGCTACCAGTCACTCATATTTATTAGTTATTAATAAAAGAATATTGGGTAAAACTATACAGGGTGAGTGTTAAATAAGTGCAAATAGGGGTGCTAATTTTTAGGGGTGGTATATTTCGACCTCAGGATAGAAACACGTCTATGAGTTTTTTTTGCAAAAAAAGATGTTAAAAATCGATCATTTTCTTTTAAATTTTCCTGTATATTTTTGTTTCAAAAGAATATTGGGGCTTTCAAAAGAATATTGGGTAAAACTATACAGGGTGAGTGTTAAATAAGTGCAAATAGGGGTGGTAATTTTCAGGGGTGGTATATTTCGACCCCAGGATAGGAACACGTCTATGGTTTTTTTTTGCAAAAAAAGATGTTAAAAATTGATCATTTTCTTTTAAATTTTCCTGTATATTTTAGAAAACTTTTTAGAACTTCCTGTTCAGCGCAAATTTTCCCAAGGTATAGTTTCTTAATCTCTGATATTAAGCACTAAAAGAGATGCAAATACCGAAAAAATGAGGTGGCTCAAATTAAAAAAAAAATCTATTTTTTTTAAAGTTCCATACTTTAATAACTCGATTGGACTTTTTTGAAACTCGATAAAGACAATATATTATGTTTATTTTATTGAGATCTACCAGCCCTGAAAATATTTGCTCTTATAGATCACCTAGTATAATAAAAATTTTCAAACCGAACAAACAACAGATTATTATTAAAATTATAAGTGTTCCAGAGAAAGACTCTTGCAAGAAATACAAGACAAGACTTTCAAAATTTCTTGTCTTGAATTTCAAGACAAGACAAGACTTTAATATGCAAGAAATTTCAAGAGTCTTGCAAGATTTCTTGAATTCAAGATTTCTTGAAAGTTAAAAATGATACATTTTTTTAAGTAATAATTAGGTCTTTGCGCAAGTTATGCCAGGTTTATACAACATTTACATAGTCGTAATCACAATCATAGTCATAATCATAAAAGTTAAACTATCCACTTCTTATAAACCTGTTGACATCTACCATGAACTTAGCCTTTACTTATGTTACTTATATAAAAATTATGATTATGAAAATGTTCTATAAACGCACATTAAAATTGCGTTGTGATTATGACGATGATTAAGACTGTGATTATGATTACTACTTATGCAAATGTTGTATAAACCCGGCATTAATATTGACCAGTGTTCATTTTTTTCTATCATAGCCAGTGTTTTAGAGTTGATAATGAAATGAAATAAAGTCGAGGCAACAAACCGTATATTGGTAATTGGTATTATTTTAGTTAACGCACAAGGTTAGGTCCGAAATAATAACCCAAAACCCATAAATCGAACTTAACGTTGCTTATTCTTATTCAGCTTTTATTTGGTAATGGCTCCTGTTTCGTCAAACGAGCGAGTTGACGTAGTTTGTTTGCGGTCCGTTAAGATTTTTTTGCCAAAATTAGCATCGTCATTTTTCCGTATTACATTTTGTATACAACGCTTTCTATGAAATAAAACTCTAGAAATATTATTACCTTTTTGTTAGAATGTAAAATTTTTCAAGGCAAGAAATTTCAAAAGTCTTGCAAGACAAGACAAGACTTTGCCATTCAAGAAATCTGCAAGACAAGACTTTGAAAATTTCTTGTCTTGAATTTCAAGACAAGACAAGAAATTGATTTTCAAGACAAGAATTCTTGTCTTGTGCAACACTAGTATGTATGTATTTCCCGCGGCTTTTGGATTGTTTTTTTTTGAATTGGCGGTATCGATTGTTTTTGATAAATAGTAAAATTGTCACGTGATGGTCATCTTTCATGATTTATAGTTTTTGTGTTTAGTAGAAATTTCATAGATCCTGCTTCTTATGTGTTGCAAATGGGAAATTAGCAACCAAAATAAAAGTAACTATAGCTCAAATTTGGCAGGTGTGGCTGGATTGGGATTTGAAGCAGGATAAAGCAGGATTGTAGCAGCCCAAGCAGGATCGTATTTTATAATTCCTGCTTTCAATGTGTTGCTAACTTCCCCGATCTTAAATTTACTACAATAATCTGTGGCAATAAATAACCATCAATACTGTGATTAAATTCACAAATGAATCTTTTCAGTGCGGTAACTCGTGCGTTAACGATTGCTGAGTACCTGAAGATGACACACGTACCTTAACTGCGTGCCTGACGATGGTGCGTGCGTTGAATCCTGCTGCGTGCCTGACGATAACGCGTGCGTTGAATACAGCTGCGTGCCTGACGATGATGCGTGCGTTGAATACTGCTGCGTGCCTGACGATGGTGCGTGCGTTGAATACTGCTGTGTGCCTGACGATGATGCATGCGCTGGATACTGCTGCGTGCCTGACGATAACGCGTGCGTTGAATACTGCTGCGTGCCTGACGATGACGCATACGATGAATACAGCTGCGTGCCTGACGATGATGCTTGCGATGAATACTGCTGCGTGCCTGACGATGATGCGTGCGATGAATACTGCTGCGTGCCTGACGTGGATGGCTGACAACGATACGTGCCCTTATAACCTGAATCTGATGCACTCGGCGTATCAGGCTGTTCCGATATTCTTGGCTGAATTATTTCCTTGTATGACGGATTCCATAAATTTTCGTAGTCCGGATTGAAGACGAGCCGTTTGTAATCTCCCTCCATTAGTGTTTGGACGGGCATAATGAAGCGTATTTTCCTAAATTTGTTTGTATTAAATTCGAATTTTTCCAGCGTTCTTCCATATCCATTTTCGACGCAGACGCTGGCATATTTACTGCGCATACAGCATCCAAATAAGTTCCAACATGAGTCAGTAGGAGGATCTTCTAGAGTAGAATCGTCGTGTCCATTCACATCTCTATCATCAGCCATCTAAAATGAACCAGGGAAAAATTAAATTTAAATATTTGTATTTACAGGGTGATTCAAACTTGGTGCGTTGATAAATAAAAAAGATTTTTATTTAGCTTTGAGAGCTTTCTAATTACTAAATCTGTTACTATGTCTGAATGATATGTCAACTTTTGATATTTTCGCTTAGAACAAAATTGTAAAAAATTTTAAATTGTTAAATTTCAATCTAGTTTTAATCTTTCAATGGAATAAATAATTTAATTTTTTAATCTTTCAATGGAACGAGGGTGGCTCATTAACATATTTGGAAAAAGCATTTTTTTACGAATAATTTGGTACCACCATAGACTTAAAATAAAATATAGACTGAGCATCCCATTCATAAATAGCTGGAACTTGCGGTCAAACACTGTCTTGTTATTGTTGTGTTATTGTTTTAGGTTATAACGAGTGCGACACGAGCGATAGATAGGTTGTCTCTGTCGTAACGGTCGTTCCCTGACGACTCTGCCGAGAAACACAACACTGTCTTTCGTTTCTCAAGTACACCTGAACTCTCCGTATCATAGCCGGGTAATTTTTTTATTTTAATGAAGCTATAAGTAAATTAAAAATATATCGTATTTAAACGTTTTTATATTTTATTAAGATTTAGGACAGGTTTTTTACATAAAAGTTTAGAAAAAACGTCTTAGAGTCCGAAAAGGATAAACATAATAAAATACACGTTATAGAAGAAATTTTATAATCGAAATTACGTAATTTTTGAAATTAATAATAAATTATTAATTTTAGTCAAACATTTACAACCCCTAATATTAATCAAAACCGGATCTATTCCACAGATATAATAGAATCGGCGACAGGGAGAGAAAAAAAAATGATTGTTGTAATTTTTTTTCTAGTTAAGTGATGTCTTATTATGTAAATTAGAGAAAACATAAATCTGTTCCATTAAAGCAAGGAAGGTGATAGGAAGTGGATAAAATAAAAACTACATTTATTTAACTCGGTACTGTCTTTATTATACCGGGTGCGGCTCAAAAGTGGCTCATCCCCATAATTTTTTTATATTTTCAAATAAAAAAACAAGATTTAGTATGTTAGTATATGAAATAAATTAGGATTGATTGACGCATTCAATTGTTTTTGGTCACTTCCTGTGTCACCGGAAATGACTATAACTTTTAATTTTTAAACGGCACCCTCGGTATATTTCTACTTTATTCGATAGAAAATGACACTCTGAATAGAATGACATATCATATGTCAACTTTTGACATTTTCGCATATGGTTTAATTGTAATTGTAACACGCGGTTCATAACGACAATTTGACTCGAAATACCAAGTGTGTGGTATCAATATATTCATAAAAAAATGCTTTTTCCAAATATGCTAATGAGTCACCCTTGTTATTAATTAAAAATATGATTTGTACATCTTTTAACCGGCCTAGACAAGACACGAAACCTATTAGACGATCAAAACTATTTTTCCAAGGCTCCTTGATTAAAACTTAGTGGATTGAAAAAAACTGGATTGAAATTTAAAATAGGATATGTTTTTAAGCGACAATGTCAAAAGTTGACATATGATATGTCATTCTATTCAGAGTGTCATTTTTTATCGAATAAAGTAGCAATATACCGAGGGTGCCTTTAAAAATCAAAAGATGTAATCATTTCGGTGAAACTGGAAGAGGCCAAAAACAATTGAATACGTCAATAAATCCTAATTTATGTCATATACCTACTAACATACAAATCTGTTTTTTTTATCTGAAAAAATAAAAAAAGTTATAGGGTTGAGCCACTTTTGAGACGACCCGGTATATTAAAAAATATTGTTTCATAATGTAATATCATTTTAAAATTCTTGTATGTTATTTTAGATTCTGAAGATAATTTTAGAATAAACCGGAATATATTTTTAATAAAAACATTATTAATTATTAACAGGGTTATAATTATGATTTTGTTACAATGTAAGTAAGTAAATAATGTAATGTAAGAGAAAAAATTCAGATTTTACATTTTACTAAAATATTATCTAAATAAGCGCCTTTCTACAACAACGCCACTGACTCCCAATGGGTAAATTGAGAGTTGCCTACCGGTCAAAAGTCGTTTCAAGACTTAAATGGATTATTTAAGTCAAATTTCTTGCAAATTTGGCACTGGCGAACCATATTTTATAGTTCTTGAACAGAAAAAGTCAATAAAATAAACACTTAAGCACTACAAGCTAAGAAAATGCGTTAATACAGCCGGGGAGATAGCGGCAACAAAGCTTTACCGCACACGTGCGACACGTACTACAAGGTAATAAATGAATGAATAGGCTCCCTCGCCTCTAATCGGTGTTGTCATATTGTAAAGAACTTATCCTTTTTAAACAGTATCCGACTTATAATTTAGTAGTATAAGGACTATTTAATACATCTCTGGAATATTAAAACCTACTTTATTAAACTGTAGTATTAATATCTCAATATATGTGTATAACAAGAAAAAAAATATTGATAATATTAAAGACGTGACAACATAGGCTGGATGAGGAAGGCTCGGTCGACTGTACCCAGAAGTAAACATGTGTACAAAAAAGGTTGTTTGTCCGCGTTGAGATGTAAATAGTGTAGTCTATATTTTATTTTAAGTCTATGGGTACCACACACTTTGTATTTCGAGTCACATTGTCGTTATGAATCGCATGTTGGAATTTCAAATAAACCGTATATGAAAATGTCAAAAGTTGACATAGAGTATGTCATTTTAATCAGAGTGTCATTTTCTATCGAATAAAGTAACAAAATACCGAGGGTGTCATTAAAAAATCAAAAGCTGTAGTCATTTCCGGTGAAGCAGGAAATGACCGAAAACAATTGGATACGTCAATCAATTCTAATTTATGTCATATGCTAACATACCGAATCTTGTTTTTTTATCTAAAAAAATAAAAAAAGTTATAGGACACTTTTGTGTGGTCTGTAACATATATATTTATTGGACAAGAGTTTGACAAGTTTCAAGTTCTTACGAATCTGTGTCCGTGCGTCGCGTCGTACATCGTTCCGTCACTCCAATCCAACTCCAATCGTATTGAAATATGATCTGTCATATGTAACATGTAAATGTTGCTAAATACAGGCTCAGTGGCCGACTAAGCCTGTCGGGGGCCCGGAGCGCATTTTGTAAACAACATACGATATCGCAAATCCGTCTAGTAAATAGCATACATGATTCCAAAATTTAACTGCCTTAACATCTCTTATAAACAACAGACGATATCGCAAAATTTGTTAATGGGTTGCCTGTAATCAGCATTCAGGATCGCAAATTTTCCATAAATCTTAATATAAATATCTAATACCTAATTGTTCTTAAAACAAGATTTGTCCTTGTAACTACAAAAAATTAATATCAAGAGGGAACTATGTTACAATCTTCTTGTACTAGAAAAAGACAAATGTTATGTGCAAAGAAACTACACAAAGTGTAATTTTTGTAGTAAAGCTGGTTATTCTCTAAACATTGGGTAAAATGTTCTGGAAATTTAAAACATTCTGTACATTTATTCATTCTAGCATTCGTTTTTGGTTTCGATTGAAAATCTTATTTTTTTAAGTTAATTTGTTTTTGATAAAGGTGCTATAATATTTTCTTTATTTATTAACTTATACAGGGTGCTACAAATTCGAGGTACGAGCATTGGTATCTCGGAAACCTTAAGAGATACGAAGATGATTGAATTGGGGCAAAGTTGCGCTTTAGGATGTTCACCAAGATACCATCAAAAAAGTTTTAAAAATTTCAAGGATTGCTGAGTTTTTTGGAAAAAACGATTTTTTTTTGAAAATCAATTTTATTTTTTCCTGGCGTTACTTTTTAGAAAATCAAAATACTAATTGCATATTCTCATGGCTACTTTATTAGGGCTATCTGATAATATTTCTAGATTTTCAAATTAGCTGATAATTTGTGAGATACAGAGGACAACTTAATTTTTTTAAATACGGACCTGCATTTTTTTATTTCAGATTTCGAAAGAACTCGGTCTCCTGAGTACAATGATATGCCACACTTAATTTTTTTTTGTTTCGAACATTTGAACACAATTTAATTAAACTAATGTTAAATCCGGCTCTGTTTTTTTTTTAAATATTTAATCTATTCATCGTTACAATATTGGTAAGCTTTCAAACTTAACAATGACGTGGAGTAAAACATTGAATACGGATAATCAAATGCAATTAAATAATAAAAAAGATAATAAAATTATTGGGCATTACTTGACGTCATTTTTAAAAGTGAGAATACATTTCAACATTACAATAAAGAGTACAGAATGCATTCGGAAGTATAAGAAGAAGATATGTTCAGAGAGCTATAAATAAGATTGAACGAAAAATACATTAATTTGTGCATGGTGGTAACCCTTTCGAACCTGTAGGGCACTACTGGTTTTAGAAAAACTAGTTTGTAGAAGTTGATTTATTTATAATAACTACAATAAAAATCACAATAAAAAAAATAAATAATATTTTTAAATTGCTGACCTGGGTATTATTTGTTTGAATCTTTCAATTGGCTCTCGATTCAATGTTAATTAGCGCTAATCCATATTGTTGCGATGAATATAATCAGATTAAATAATTTAAAAAACCAGAGAGTGGGACTTGAAATTATTTTAAATAATAATTAAATAGTTTTGTTATTGTTAAGGTACCTAAAACAAAAAAAAAAGTATCAAGTGTGGCATATCATTGTACTCGGGAGATCGAGTTCTTTCAAAACTTCAAATAAAAAATGCATGACCGTATTTAAAAAAATTAAGTTGGCAAATTGTATTTCACAAACTATCAGCTAATTTGAAAATCTAAAAATACTATCAGATAACCCTAATAAAGTAGCCATGAGAATGTGTAATTAATTTTTTGATTTTGTAAAAAATAACGCCAGGAAAAAATAAAATTGATTTTCAAAAAAAATCGTTTTTTCCAAAAAACTCAGCAATCCTTGAAATTTTTAAAACTTTTTTGATGGTATCTTGGTGAACATCCTAAAGCGCAACTTTGCCCCAATTCAATCATCTTCGTATCTCTTAAGGTTTCCGAGATACCAATGCTCGTACCTCGAATTTGTAGCACCCTGTATAAGTTAATAAATAAAGAAAATATTATAGCACCTTTATCAAAAAACAAATTAACTTAAAAAAATAAGATTTTCAATCGAAACCAAAAAACGAATGCTAGAATGAATAAATGTACAGAATGTTTTAAATTTCCAGAACATTTTACCCAATGTTTAGAGAATAACCAGCTTTACTACAAAAATTACACTTTGTGTAGTTTCTTTGCACATAACATTTGTCTTTTTCTAGTACAAGAAGATTGTAACATAGTTCCCTCTTGATATTAATTTTTTGTAGTTACAAGGACAAATCTTGTTTTAAGAACAATTAGGTATTAGATATTTATATTAAGATTTATGGAAAATTTGATTTTCAATAAAATTGATTTTCAAAAAAATCCGTTTTTTCCAAAAAACTCAGCAATGCTCGTACCTCGAATTTGTAGCACCCTGTATACTCGTGGTTTGGGGGCAAATTAATTTTTTGCAAAATAATATTTAGTATTGTTTAGTTATATTTTTTATCCACGACTCGTCTATAATTTGATTATTATACATGAGTTTATGAAATAATAATTATATTCATTATTCACCGCTTCCACGGATATCTCGATCCAAACTCCAAACAAGAGCTATTTGAAGTTTTCAATGTCACTTTTTGCACTCATCTATGGGGTGTTTCAAAAGTTGTTTTTCTAGTCACGAGATTTTTAAAATATTTTTTGTTCCTTAAACATTCTCTTATATTATATCTCGCCATGTAAACAAATCGGTCGATTTAAAAATTTGAAGTTTTTAATGGCACTTTTTGCATTCATCTATGGGGTGTTTCAAAAGTTGTTTTTTCTTATTACGAGATTTTTAAAATATATATTTTTTGCTTTTTAATAAGTCTCTTTTGTCATATCTCGACATGTTTGAAATTATTAAACACCATTATGAAGAAACAATGTTAAAATTCCATAATTTTCTACTCTAAAATTCGATTTAAAAATTTGAAGTTCTAAATGTCACTTTTTGCATTCTAAAAATGTTCTAAAAGTTTTCAATGTTATTTTTTGCATTCATCGGTGGGGGAGGTTTCAAAAGTTGTTTTTTAAAAATAAAAACTTATATTAATATTATCAGTGGCGGACTAAGGGGGGGCGAAAGGGGCGGTCCGCCCCGGACCCCGTCTTTTAGGGGGCCTCCGAATCTTAATAAGTAATTTTTTACAAAAACAGTATAAATGGAAGCAGATATTTACTTAATTATCAATTATCAGGCCCCAATAATTGTGAATGGCATTTTCTATTTAGGAAATTAAATCAAAGAGTAATTTTCTTTGTTTAAAATATCGAATAATTATTATTTTTTATATATTTTGAGACTGAATTTATTTATTTTAGCTTTTAAGTTATTTTTCAATGGTTTCATTATTTATTTTTACTGAATAAACATTTTAAATTACAACCAATGCACAGCATAACTTGTATTCTAGCTTCATTTTCCTTTAGTATAACGGGGGCCACGGGCGTGAGACAGCGAAGGGGCCCCTCGGATCTTGGAGGACTTACAAAATCGCGGTATTTCCCTGTAAGCATGTTTAAGAAAAAAATATTTAATTTTTGGACGAAAAAAACTACCTGTCAAAAAAATTTGTACAGCCTAAAAGTCAAATTTAGTGATTATCACAGCCCCTGTGACATAAAGAAAAGACATGTGGCTATCTATTTCAAAAATTAAATTGTTCAAATGTCATATAATAATGGCGGTAGTTGTCATGGAATTGAGCGATTAAAAAATTATCATAAATAATTTTTTTTCAAATGGAAACCCACTTTTTTTATTTCACTAGTGAAAAGGTTTTCCAATTCGTTACGTTTTAACTAGACATATTCCTATACCTAAAATAAATCGTTTTTAAGATATTTAAGATTTAGTTTGAAAACGTATATATTTTTCTTGATTTTATCTAGCTTCCTTTGACATTAAGTGTCAAACAGTCGGACAATTTATTTCCATCGGTCAGAAAATAAATTATTTCAATTTCCTATATTATAAGTATACAGCTGCTTAAAAGTTTAAAAAGTGTATTTATATAAATAATATATCTCGTATTTTCGTTCTTTAGTGATATCTAATAGTTGATATTTTAATAATATACCGTAAGATCGAAAAAAAAACAGTGCAAAGTTAGCTTGGAAATGATGATCGATAATATACTGTCATAGGCTTCTGGAAAATCAAGAAACATATACGTTTTAAAGCTAAATCTTAAGTAACTCAAAAAAAGATTGATTTTAGGTACAGGAACATGTATAGTCAAAAAGTAACAAATTTTAAAAACGCCTTTTCACGAGTGAAATAAAAAAAGTGGATTTCCATTTGAAAAAAAAATGATTTGTGATAATTTTTTAATCGTTCAATTCCATGACAGCTGCGGCCATTATTATATGACATTCGGACAATTTAATTTTTGACATAGCTAGCTACATGTCTTCTTTTTATGGTACAGTGGCTGTGGCAATCACTAAATTTGACGTTTAAGCTATATATATATATTTTTGACAGGCAGTTTTTTTCCTCCAAAAACTATAAATATTTTTGTTTTCTCAAAAACGGTTAACGTTAGGTATAGAGTGTTTAATATCAAAATTCATAAAATTTTACAGAGAACTTAAGTATGTAATAAAAAATGGGGTCACCCATTTAAAATAAGAAAGTTGCTGTCAACTTCCGGTACTTCCGAAAGTGCCGCCATATTGAAAATACTTTTAATCGATAGATCTCATTGTGAAACAATGATATGCACAAAATCTCATATCTAGATATTGTAGTTCTCTAGAAACTTCTAACGCAGGCTCAGCCTGGGACACCCTGTATAAATACTTGAATTTTGTTAACCATTATACATACGTCATTCAATTTTTACAAAATGTGCATTAGAAGTATATCATTATCTAAACAGACCGGGGGCCACATTTAGCTTCGCCGCCCCGGGCCCCCGACAGGCTTAGTCCGCCACTGTTGCTGATTCCCTTAATTGTCGGCAATGTTAAAAATAACTTACTCTTAATTCACAGACTACGAAATATTTCAGTTGACACGTGTTGACACAGACACTTGATTGATTCTTGTAGATCGTTTTAAAATTTTTAAATCAGTCAAAAATTGTGCCGAACAACAGAACTATTGTCGATAGTTTTAACAGGACTATCTTGATATTCTGATTATTTTTTAGGACAAAAAATTGTTTTGTTGCTATCTATCGGCATTTTGCATAAAAAATATGTTTTTTTTTCAAGTAAAATACAACATTCCAGATTATTGAGGCTCCAAAACGTAACATTATACATAATTTTATTAAAAATAAATTTGGGTATATCATTAAATAAATAATCATTAAAATGGAACGAAACAAACAAAAAATTTTATTTTCCAGGGAGCAACGGTAACTCAGCCGTTGTTTCGCCAAATGACAATATAGACTTGTTTTATTCTATGTAACCGAACTATTATGATTAAGTATAAAAATTTAAGTACATAATTATTGTACCTATGCATTATTATTATTCATTATTTTCACTATTTTCTTGTATATTAATTAAAATTAAAATTTTTATTATTTTTTAGTTTTATGTTATACAGGGTGAGTCTAAAATAAGTGCAAATATTTCTAGAGGTAGTATATTTCGCCAATAGAAACACGATTATGAGTTTTTTTCTCGCGAAGAAAAATTGAAAATTTGGCATTTTCTTTTGAAGTCCATAATTTCTTGATAATATGGCAACATAGGGAGTAGATTAAATTTACAAGAAAGAAAACCCAGAAAAGATCCAGTGGTTCTCAAAATGTACCAAATTAAGGCTTTGAAATAAATTTAAACATAATACAGAGAGCTTTAATAAGTACAAATACTTTCAGGGCTGGTAGATCTCGATGAGAGAAACATATTTTTTCTTTACTACATTTTTTATATACCGGGTGCGTCTCAAAAGTGGCTCACCCCTATAACTTTTTTATTTTTTTCAGATAAAAAATCGAGATTTGGTATGTTAGTATATGACATAAATTAGGCTTGATTGACGTATTCAATTGTTTTTGGTCACTTCCTGTTTCACCGGAAATTACTACAACTTTTCCATATTTGGAAAAAGCATTTTTTTGCGAATAATTTGGTACCACACACTTGATATTTCGAGTCAAATTGTCGTTATGAACCACATGTTACAATTTCAAATAAACCATATGCGAAAATGGCAAGTTGACATATGATATGTCATTCTACTCAGAGTGTCATTTTCTATAGAAAGTAAAAATATACCGAGGGTGCCAATTAAAAATCAAAAGTTGTAGTCATTTCCGGTGAAACAGGAAGTGGCCAAAAATAATTTGAATACGTCGATCAATCCTAATTTATGTCGTATACTAACATACCAAATCTCGTTTTATTATCTAATAAAATAAAAGTTTTAGGGGTGAGCCACTTTTGAGACGCACCCGGTATATTATGTAAAGTACAAAATACCCAGTTATTTGACTTTTAAATTTTAAAAAATATATTTTTCGCTTTAATTTTGAGAACGTCTACTCATATGTTGCCATATATTTCCAATACATATTTTAACCAAAAAATAGATAGGGTCGAAAGTCGAAATATACCACCTCTAAAAATATTTATTATTTACACTTACTCTATTTTGACTCACCTTGTATAGTCTTTTCTTTCTTATTTTCATTTTTCTTCTATTAAAAGTAGTTCAATGCTAGTTTTTTTCTTTATACAGTTTTTATATCTACTAGGAAAAATAAAACAATTTGTTTAATTTTAAATTCTATAATTATTTCGCATTCTCTCAATATTGAATGTACGTAAAAGCAATCTTAAGTAAAATACTTGTGGTAATATCTATCTTATTATTTACCTAGTCTATAAAAATATACCTATAACGTATAATAATTTTCTTATATTATTACGTGAAATAATAATACATATAAACATATTTTTTTAATATAAAATCATCATGAATATGATATATGACTAAAATAAAAAGACAGAATTAAATGTAAATATCACAGGATAACTTAATCAGTATTTTATTTAATTACAATTACTAATAAAAAATATCAAATATTTTGAGTTAATCCAAGATTATATTCCTAATTCTTAGAAACATTAATATTGACTGAATACTTTGATATATAGTAATAAGGCACGTATTTATTATATTTTTCAAAGAAAAATAAAATAAATTTATATGCTAACCTTATATCAATAGTATGACAGTAGCTTATGTTACTCAAAAATACCTTAATATTACAATAATAAATGTAACTAAAATAATGTGAAAAAATACAATAAAATCAGAAACATATAATATAAATTTTAACCAATAAAAATGACTAATAAATGGGGGACTAACAGTAGTTAAAGAAATGACATTTCATTTCGAATTTTACCGCCTATATCTCTTGAACAGATGTCACTGTCATTGTCAAAATCTTCAGAGATAAACATATTAAACTCGAACTGATATGTCATTTTGACGTCTAGTTTGTTCGATTATATGGCAATCAAAATAAAGATGTACAGAACTCCTTGAGCTTATACTAAGAAAATGGAAAGTAAAAATGCAATATTGATCGATAGCAATGGAAGAATAATACTAATTTTTTATACGTTTTATATAAAATGTTTTTTCCATGTATGCGGATTTTGCAACTACAAAGTCAAGTTGATGAATAGATAAAATACACGATATCACAGTGGTCATTTAAAAGAACATTAACAATGGCTATTAAAAATATACCTTAACCGGTCCATTTTGAATCCCATCAATCAATTTTCCATTTTCATTCATCAATTTTCTCGGCACCAAGTTTGATCACCCTGTACATATCAGATGAGAAATAACTAATAAAACATATAAACAAGTTACCCTTACAACAATTGCTGGTAGAATTCCTAAGTACTACTATATCTCTGGTCCTGGGCATTGGACACATACCAAATTTTAGTGAGTGGGCTTAGAGCATACGAGGAACGTCTTTGTATTATGAAAATCAAGTTTTTTTTTATTGTTTTTTGTCATATTTCATCGAAAAATTTTAAACATTGTCAAGGGAATCACAGTGAATGAAATTGCGTACATTTTTAATCTTCTGACTAAATAAAAAAGAAATAATAAAATTAATATAATATACAGGGTGGCGCCTCTCATGTGCCACGGAGGCTCCAAGGAGAACGACCGTTTGTATTGAAATTAAATTTTGTGAGCATATGTAGGTTAATTCAGAGCACTTTTTAAAAATATAGAGAGTTCTACAGGGTGCCCTCAAAAGAGTTACATATCAAAGTTGCGTTTTTTGTAATGGAACACCCTATATATTAATTGATTTTCGAATTCGGAAAGAAAGCATTTTGTGTATTTGATTTCATGTAGCTAATTTTTCTCCCATAATTATAGGTTTATATCTAGTTTTAATTCTGTAAATTAAAATATGTTTTAAACGTGTATCTTTTTATTACCCTTGAGTATTTTACTCTACAATGTTTAATTTATGTTAAATTAACAAAAGGTATATCACAGAGCCACCTAGATTTTTTCAAATAATAAAGATATACTGAAGCAAAATCATAAAAATTTAAATATCTGGGAAACTCTTTGTCCGAGGGGTAAGTAACCTTAATAATATTTTGAAGATATATAAATTCCCCATTGAACACCGGAAAAATATACTGGGTGTTCCATTTAAAATAAAGGAGCAACTCGCTTTTAAAAGTGACTAATGTTCCATATTAATTTTGTCTCACCCTGTATAACTTTTCGGGTCCAATTTCAATTTGGTTTAACATACAATGGTTACTGTAATTAAATATCAGGCTATACAAGGTCAACTAAAATTTAGATAGCTCTTATGGAAATCTAAAATTTACCTCTTCATTTTCACAAAATGTGAAATATGTCAAAATCCTTAGATTTTAGGTATATGCATCTTTAATAAAACTCACCTTTATTTTTTCCTAGAATCCGAAAATCAATTAATATATAGGGTGTTCCATTAAAAAAACACAACTTTGTTGTGTAACTTTTTTTGGGGACACCCTGTATAATTTTATATATTTTTATAAAATGCTTTCAGTTAACCCACATATGCTGCCAAAATTTCATTTCGATATAAATTACCGTTCTCCTTAGAGCTTCCGCGGCGTATGAGACGCGTCACCCTGTATACATTTTTCGGTAAAATGTCATCCAAAAAAAATAAATACAAAATTAATTTTAGATTTTAAAAAAGTTGCGTTGGGGATGCACAGATAAAAAAGAAAATTGAAATTGTTTTTCACAGTATAAAAATAAGTTAATAAAATTTGGTGTGGGTCCCAAGTCCAAAACCAGAAAATTACAATCAATTAGATGCTGCTGACCTATAATATTACTATTGCATTTTAGGCATTGCTTTATACTCTAGTTTATTTATATACCTACTTATGATAACCTATTATTTATCGATAACACATTAAATTTTGCTAGAAAAGCTTACGTTGTCAAAAAGGAATAATATCAATTTAGAATACAAACACAGGGTGGCGCACCTCATTTGTCTCGGTTGATTATACGAAAACGGAAAGATGTAGAAATAAAATATTTAATGGGTGTATGTGGGAAGGCAATTTGCATAATTTAAAATTATTTTTAAATATACAGGGTGTGTCAGAACTAAGATCCATACCAAAGTTATATTTTTTCTTATAGAACGCCAGGTATTTTATTTCATTTTTGGATTCTTGGACATAAAATAAGGCATTTATTATAAGGGTTTAATATGTTTAAAAGCTTTGGTTTTTGAGATGTTTAAAGATATTTAAATATGCATGCTATAATAAAAAAGTTGTTAACACCCTGTACATTTACTTTTCAGAATTAACTCCTGTGCTGACTTTCAAGCCAGAGAAATAAACTTTCCTAAAAAAAATGATTGCTTCCTTAAATGTATACAGGGGCATCAAAAGGCATGCTGGTCTATTTTAAATATTTATTTTACATAAAAACTTTGTTAATTCAAACGCAACAGTATGTATTTTTTTAAATAAGTCGAAGCAGTTTTAAATGCTCTTTCAAAACTGTATTAGGGTTTCATAAACCTATCTGGCTCAGATTTTGAATAAAAAGCGATTTTTCAATAAAATTGTAATCAAGATGGCTGGTGTCGTCATGGCAATTTTCTAGTGACAATTAGTAGCTATGGAATGGATATGTCCTAGTGATTTTATTTTGTAGGTCTATTGCTTGTTGGCCAGAAAGTTTTATGCTCAAAGATATCCAAATAGGAATTTTCTTGACAAGCGTTCCTTTGAACTTTTCCTATTTCGCAGAGCTGATAGTGTAGTATATGAAAAACCGATTAGGCAGAACCATGTCGTTGGAAGTGAAGAAAATAAATTAGCGTTAATTGTTTTTTTTTATATAAAATCCAATATATCTACAAGTCATCATAATATAAATCAACTTCTTTATTTTTCTTAATAAAATAATAAATACTTGCTTATTAAACAATTGTAGGCAAATTAAATAGAAGTAAACTGTTATAAATTTATATAAAGTCCGTAAACTAATGTCGATTTTGAAAATAGCTACTAAATGTCACTAGTAAATAGCCATGGCGACACCCGCCGACTTGATTTCCATTTCATTGAAGAATTGCTTTTTATTCAAAATCTGAGCCAGATAGGTATAGAAAACCCTAATATAGTTTGAAATGCCATTTAAATCTGCTTCGACTTATTTAAAAAAATACATAGAGTTGTATTTGAAATAACGATGTTTTTATGTAAAATAAATATTTAAAACAGACGAGCAATTTGTGATGATTGATGAGAGATTTCTCTGGCTTCAAAGTCAGCACAAGAATTAACTCTGAAAAGTAATGTACAGGGTGGGTCAAATTCGACGCTTTTAAATGGAAACGCCCTTTTCTATAGGAGATAGACGAAAACTAATATCGGTGTCTGGAGCTCAATTTTCATCAAAAACATGATGGTGAAAACCGCACATCAATATCTGTTACCGTTTCGGAGTTACGGGGTGTTTTTCAAAAATGTGCATTTTTAACAAATCGCTGTAACTTTTTCCTATGGAAAATTTTGTATTTCTATGAAAACATTTCCAAAGCACCTTTTACGTAGAATTTAATGGTTTAAGTATATTTTTTTAAAATTAATAATTTAAGAGTTATAAACAGAAAAAATGATTTTTTATTTGGGACACCCTCTATATTTTTAACTAACAAAAAAAATTAAAATTACCTTTCCAAAAATATAGCACACTTGATATTTTGTTATAATCCCCTTCGAAATACAGAATTTTTATAAGTTCGTCACTTTTAACTACTAGGCTTTGGACCCCGATATGCCCTTAATGGAATTCGAAAACCTATTTTTCCAGCAAAACAACGCACCGCCTCTGAACGCTGAAGTTATCAGCAAATTTTTGCAGCCAATTTTAAGAATAATTGGATAGCTAACCAAGACCCCAGCCGTTGGCCGTAGAGGCCGCCTGACTTAGTGCCCATGGATCTAATCCTATGGATATATTTGCGGAAGAATAAAGGTTCCTTATTCTTCCGTATAATCTAGACAAGAATTAAAAATACTTAGCAGTTATAAGAGGGTTATATATAACCCCCACTGAGTTAATGAATTCCGCGAGAAATTTTCAAAAACTACCCCGTCTGTCCATAACAGAAGACGGTCGATATGTCGAACACCTATAGCAAAATCTCATGTCTTGGTTTGCTATTTATTTTTATTGTTATTAGATATAGTTTAAATGTGTTGACGTTGGTCAAATATATTTTAAATTGTTATAAAATTCTGCATCTCTCATAGCAAATATTATTTTCGTTTTAACTGATGCTCACAGCTAGAATTTTTTTGCATTACAGCCGGTGCCGTTCAAAGCCTACTTATTTAAAGCACACGAATTTTTATATACTCTATATCTCGAAGAGGAATCGAGCAAAATATCAAGTGTGTTATACTTTTGGAAAGGTAATTTTAAATTCTTTTCAATAAATTAAAAATATACAGAGTGTCCCATATAAAAAATCAAATTTTCTGTTGATAATTCTTAAATTATTAATTTTAAAAAAATTATACTTAAACCATTAAATTCTACGTAAAAGGGTGCTTTGGAAATGTTTTCATAAAAATACAAAATTTTCCATAGCAAAAAAGTTACAGCAACATTTGTTAAAAATGCATATTTTTGAAAAACACCCCGTAACTCCGAAACGGTAACAGATATCGATATGCGGTTTTCACCATCATGTTTTTGACAAAAATTGAGCTCCAGACACCGATATTAGTTTTTGACAAACTGTTTGATTATAGCATGCCTATTTAAATACCGTATGATCGAAAAAAAAATGGCGTCCAGTTGGCTTGGAAATGACGATCGATGACATTTCCCATATAATTTTACATATAAAATGACAGAGATCTTCATTTCATAGCCCTCGCTGACGCCGTTTTTATTCGATCATACGGTATCTCAAAAACCAAAGCATTTAAACATATTAAACCCTTAGAATAAATGCCTTATTTTATGCCCAAGAATCCAAAAATGAAATAAAATACCGGGTGTTCCATACGAAAATATATAACTTTGTTATGGACCTTAGTTCTGACCACACCCTGTACATTTGAAAATAATTTTAATTTATGCACATTGCCTCTCTACATATACCCATAAAATTTTTTGTTTCTACACCTTTTAGTTTTCGTATAATCAACCGAGGCGAATGAGGTGCGCCACCCTGTATTATTTCCGTTGAAAAGTGATTGACGTAACACACAAAAAATTAAACGTTAGTTTCTGCACAATCATGGCCTCTAGTTTTCGTTTGTTGGGAACCCTGATCTTGCCTAGCTAGATTAACCAATTCTAAGTTCTGAGGCCTCCGACCCGTGCCACTCACTTTAGGACCGGAAGGAACTGTTTTGCCGTGCTCAGGGCCCCCAGAACTTACCCCAGACCCGGAAGCTTGATCTTCCAAGTTGTGAGGCCCCCGACCCGAGCCACTCACTTTAGAACCGGAAGGAACTGTTTTGCCGTGCTCAGGGCCCCGAGAACTTACCCCAGACCCGGAAGCTTGATCTTCCGGCAATGGCTGAACGTTATCTGGAGGCATCCCTTCGCCAGGCCCTCTACGAACATAATTTTGATTAGCCACGGTCATATTCATCAGTGCCAGATATTCGGCCACGCCCCTCGCCGGACCCGGATCCGAGCTTGCCACTGGCTGACCATCTAAGTTCATCGAAGATAGCCTGGGAGCCTCCACAATGGCGGGCTGGTGTTTAAACGGATTCCAGTATTTTGGGTCGAACGTGACAGGCGAATCAGAGTTCGCTGGATAGCCTCTGGACATGACTGATGGCATAACGACTACGATCTTGTTAAATGACCTTTCTTTCCATTCTGGGACTCTTTCTTGGTGAGGTGGCTGGATTGTGATTTTCTGGTCGAAATTAACGATTTCGATAGTATGCTCGCCTGTACAACAAGGAAAGCATCCATTCATGTTTCTGATTAGGCCGATCTAAAAAAAGTAGACAAGTATTAATAGTATATTACATACCGCGGAGGGAAGTGTTTCATTACTGTCGAGAGATTAACTAAATCTCCAGACAATAATGAAAACTTTCCTCCAAGGTTTGTATACTATTTTATTTACAACCACATAATTAATTAAAAAATAGAGACATAATTTGTTTTGAAAAAAAATGAATATGGGAAAATTTGTCGTTTTCTGTTTTGGCATTTCCATATCTATAGTTACCGGTACCAGTGGTTGTTATGGCGCAAACCTTCAACAGCCAAACGAACAACTAAGTGACAGTTTTGAATTTCTCGTTCGCTTTTTCGAATGTATGTGTCCCTTATATTTGACCGCCCAAGCAGCATTTGGACGTCGGGACAACGTTGTGTCACGCGACCAAACGTCGGGGCGCAACGTCGGCACAGCCTCGTGCCAACCCTAGTCTGCACTAGTTTGGAGAATAATTTTTGGGTCGAAACGACGTTGGATACCGACGTTGGCTAGAAGCCTAATTTAGTATAAACTGCAAAGTTGTTTAAAATCCTAATTCACAGAAATACAAAACTAATATGGCGTCTAAGTCGCGTTTTATCCTAAATTGGGATAATTATAGTAAAAATATTATTTTTATGATTTAGTTAGAGACATATGTCAGATGGCAATGAAGGAAAACAAAACAAAAGTATTTAAGTGTGGAGGATGTTTGAAGATCATAATTATTGAAACACTTTAACCGACTCTGTAACTCGTTACCCAAGGCAAAAAAGTTAAACGCAAACAACTTTATTGATAAATGTATTGTGTCTACTTTGAAAAATACTAACGGGCCTTAAAATTAAAGAAGTTTTAAAAAAAAAATTGATTTTTTTTTTAGTAAAATGAGAATAATTTATTCGCAGTCGAAAAAATTGTTTCCGCGTGTTTTTTAGGGTCAAATATTTCAGGTTAATGTATTCAAAAAGCAGGAATTGCTATTTTAGGAACGAAACATTTTCTTATTTAACAACATGGCGGCTTTCACTTTGTTGTTTTGAAGATTAAGATGGAGTAGTTCGAGTAGTCGCAAACTGGACTAATAAAGTCGCAGTTCGGCCTTAACAGGTAGTATACTAGTCGCAAGATTGCCTAATTTAGTCATCCTAGAGTCTAGTTTGTGCCGCCCTCTATAATCTAAATAAACGAGAGAGTGGATAAACTATCGGTAATATATGTCGATGTATATTTAAATATAGTTTTATATGTACCTTTCTTATGTCCCATTTTAATTAAGTTTTTTTTATAAAAACAAAAACAGCACTGAACTGTCTGACTGAACAGAACAATGAAGTGAAAATTTAAGATTTAAGGTTATGGTTCAACACAGTTGCAAAAAGGTAGTGACTCGACGTCCTACCAACGTAAGAATAAGGAAATCTAAACAACGTTGGAATTAGTAAAACAGACGACGTTTGCATAACGTTGGAATAGGTCCTGAAACTGACGTCGGAAAACTCTATATTGTCCAACGTTGTAACTACGTTGTCCGAATCACCTAAAGATCACTTAAGCAAAAAAGGTTGCAAGACAACGTTTATTCGACGTCGCAGAAGCTTCTACTTTGCTGTAGTACTAGTCCAACGTCGGCACAACGTTATAAAAACGTTTAAATTTATTTTAATACCTAAGGTAGGGAGCTAACTATTTTTTGTAACTAATCCAACGTTGTATTTAGTAAACATGTGGTCGCAAGTCGTGAAAATGGTACTTGGGCGGGCTTTTCCCGTGCGCTTGATTAAGAAGAAAAAAAATAAAGAATGCAATCGTTGACGTGCTAAAGGTCTAAGGATTTCAGCTACTAACCTTCGATCTTTAAACTATCTAAAAAAATATAGTAATGGCCCTAAATTCATAACCTTTGTTAATAAGTATCATAGTTTGTATAGAAAACTTATCAAGGCTGCTAAAAATATGTACTATAAAAATAGACTTAACAAAGCCAAAAACAAACAAAAAGAATGTTTGGCTATAATTAATGATTTTCGCAAAAAATCACCTAATGTCAAGTCTGAGATAGACCCTGATCACCTTAATTAGTTTTACTGCAACATGGCGGGTTACCTGACCAAGAATTTATTCTCTAAGTCTGACCCTCTCTCTTACCTAAGTAATTTTAATTATCAAAATTCATTTTGTTTTTTTAATACAGATAAGTTCGAAATAAAAAAAGTTATTGCTGAAATAAAAAATAAGAAATTCAGTGGAGATGAAGACATATCTGCTGAAGTACTGTTAAAGCTACCGGATAAAGCCTTAGAAGCCTTATCCAACTGCATAAACGAGTCCTGGCAGCAAGGAGTTTTTCCTTCCTGCCTAAAATCTTCAACAGTGGTTCCTCTCTTCAAGAGAGGCGATACTAAGGAGCCTTCTAACTTTCGCCCAATTTCTTTGCTTCCCACTTTGGCCAAGGTCATTGAAAAGTTAGTAAAAAATAGGATGTGTAACTATCTACAATCTCTTAACATTATTACTGATAAGCAGTTTGGGTTCCGGGAGGCCAAGAGCACACACGATGCTGTCTGCAGTTTCCTTGAGGAAGTCTATGTTGGGCTGATTCAGGGGGGAGTAATGGCGGCTGTGTTCTATGATCTATGCAAGGCTTTTGATTGCGTGGATCACGAAATTCTCTTACTGAAGCTCGAGAGGTATGGTGGACGTGCTCTTGCCTGGTTTAGATCATATCTTGAGGGTAGATATCAGTGTGTCATGTGCTCGGGAAAAAAATCCTCACCGTTAAATGTCTGTTCCGGTACCCAATATTGTTACCCGCCAAACCCTGAATCTGCCCTTGCCACTTCCAAATAGCACCTTGGTCGAAAGATCTATAATATATGAGGGCCGAAAGGTCTTTAATCATCTGCCGGTTGCTTTAAGATTGGTTAATTCCATAAAAACCTTCCGGAGGCCACTGAAAAAAGAACTTTTGAGTAGGGCATTTTACAGAGTTGACGAATTCTACCGGGACACCCTTGATATTAGTGTGTAGAATTTAGAATTTTTTTTATCTTATATTTGTTCTGTATATTGTATGTTATTTTACTTAGTTGTTTAAACCTATTTTGCTGATTGTTCAATCTTATATTTACGCAAATTTTTTCTTTTTTGTTTTTATATTTGCACGCATTTGTTTACTTTTCATGAAACTGTTTTTTGATGTTGGAATTGCTGGCAATAAATGTTTTAGGTTTAGATTTAGGAATATTATGCATTGTTAACAAAAATTTATATATTTTTTAACAATAAAGTATTTTTTTAATTGAATTGAATTGAATATGTAACATAGAAAGCCAGAATGGTGTCGGAAAGTTCTGATAATGAAGACTACTTTAATATTGGTACTCCACCGAACTTACAGAAGCTGCAAAAAGAGCAGAAGCCAGTTTACTTCCAGAGAAAAGTAGGGGGCGATATGAAATAGCATTGAAAGTATACGAAAAATGGTGTGCCGAAAGAAATGCTAAGAATATTGCTTCGGAGCCATCTTGATGGCATATTTTAGTGACATGGCAAGGCAGAAAAAGCCATCTACTCTTTGGGCTACGTACAGCATGATACGGACAATGCTAGAATTAAGGGAAAAAAGACTGACATATCAAAATATCACAAACTCGTCGCTTTTTTAAAACGCCAGAATGTAGGTTTTAAGCCAATACGCCAGGGCAGTTAGCAAAAATAGGGGAAGTTTTTGCAACCAACCTGATTTTTTCACAGATGATAGTACTCATTAGCAGTACTCTGTAAAAAAAAGTTACACCTCCTAGAGTGCTTGCTTCCTCCGCCATGTTGAATTAAAGATGGCGCGTCTGATTCTATTCTTTAAAAAATCGTAACTTTCTTATTTATTAACCGATTTTCGTCAAGTAAAAATCATTACCTTTGTTTTGGCCTAAAGAATGAAATAAAAATACAAAACTATTTTGACAGGTTGTTTTTCTGTCAAAAATAAAAAAAAGGAAAAATAATAAAAGAAATCGACTTGCTTTTCTTCATTTTTCGACTCTGTGTGTATTTAGACAGGCTTGATTGCATTTTTTACACAAAATGCTGCATTTCCGATTATAAGAAGCACAAACACAGTTTGCTGTGCAAAGATCTTTGCATTTGCAAAAAAAAGTTGCCATTATAGGTGTTCGGGCCCTGGAGGTTTGGTGTAAGTCACTGGGAAAAGCTCATTGCCACTGGCAAACCACCCCCACTCAAGTGGATCTAACTCGTTTCCTCTCCTTGTACCTGTAAATATACACTAAAAACGTGTTGATTACTGGAGTCTTCTGTGGGAGGAAGATTTGTCAAATCAAAATTAGATCCCAAACCTTGTGTTCTCAACGTTCAATTTTGGCCTCAATTTTTTTTGGAAATTTTCCTTTTTTGCCCTTTTTTAAAATATCTCCCATATCCTTCATTTGTCTGTAATGAGTTATACATTGTTGGATAGAGCATAGGTGGTTTGGTTTGGTTTGAACCCATCTAAAACGAATAGTTTTTGAGATATTTCGAATAAAAGTTTTCAATTGTCGACTTCCTGAGAATATCCCTTTGAAAAAAATCGATTTTTGAATTTTTAAATTTTTTGTACTTTTTTCACCTGAAACGTCTAAAGTGCGTTAAAATATGAATATTAATAGCATTTTTATCATTTTTTTGCATTATCATGTATTTTAAAAAATTCCCGAAAATTAAAAATTCGGTTTTTATTTTTTTTTCTCGCCCTGTATACGACATTTTGACAAACTTTGTTATAAAAATAGCTTCTCTTCCTCCTTATTATGGAGTTTGTTTGAGGTAAATTGGTTAAAAAATAAGAAATATGACATAAACTTTCCTTTTATTGAAAATTTAAATCAAAATATTGCGAACGGCTACTCTTATATCGGAGGCGGTGGGAATAAGCTTTTGCTTCTGCACTTGGCTAAAAATATGATGCCCACCTATACCTTACACTGCATACCAAAGGGCGCCACTTA